AGAGCAGCTAGTTTAAAACATGAATTTCAAGCCCTGTAAAAATTCACATAATGACAGAACTGAGGGGAGATAATGGATTCTGACTCTAACAAGATTGTCCGTCAGTTTTGCAAAACAAAATTTCACACCTGGCTGTGTCTTGACGATTTACTACAAGTCAATCATTTCTGACAGGTGCATATAAAACAGGAATGTGTCTATCTGGTCACACAAAATTCTCATTAGTTGTTTTTCATAGCTAGTTCCATATAAGGGGAATTTCTTACGACTCAGATCAAGGTAAAAAAACTTGCAAGATTGTTGACTTGCTGCCACAATGGGTACATTATGCAAACCTCTTCTGAACAGATACAGTTTTAGATTTGATGCACAATCTACAATTTTGAAACTTTCAAAGAAACTACTAATCAGATTTGTGTTACCATAGCAACATGAAAGTACACATTTTTGATCATCGCAGCAGTTCCGTGGTCTCCGTGGTTACCCTGTTCTGACGGCGGAGCTGAAGTCGTTGAAGTACGGGTGGTTTAACCCCTCGTCAGCCGAGAGCCGGTGGGCGGGGTTACACACCAGCAGCCGCTGGGAAACAGGACAAGAACAAGCTGGTCACTCAAAATAGGAAAAAGCACAGAAAAATCACAAGTAAACTAAGATCAATGCACAACTATTCTCCATATGTTGGAAATACCCTCTTTTGCTGTGCAAGACTTATTGGAGATGCTAGTCTGCCTTGAGTGCAAGTTTTGCTTTTTCTTTTGCATCCCAAAGCGACCTTTTTTTAAAGTTTACAGCAGCTCAGCTCATGCATGTGAGCGATACCTTTACAGGTGGCCTGGCTAAGGCTTGTCTTCTAAAATACTAGTAAGCAGCCAGTGTTGACAGCAACCTGAAAATATTAATATAGATGGACAACCTAACTTTTGATTTCATCCCTGAGATTAAAAAAAAAGTATTTTGAGTCATCCCCTCACCTGTAACAAGTCTCTTCCTTTCGGACACAGCTTTGGGACGACCACAGCTAACGACGTCGTGACTTGGTAAATAGGAAACGGCTGGGGAAGACAGATACAAAATTTTAGAATAAAGCTATGGTCACTTTAGATAACTATAGGCAAGGGAATCACTTGAACTTCTTACGAGAAATAGAGAACTCTTTGTTGACATGACATGAAAGTTTAAGTCCTTCTCCATGCAACTTTAGATGTCATATGATGATGATTAGATATCATAAAGGATATCATAAAGGACAGTAAATGTCTCAAACTTGAACTTGTGAGAAAACTTGTAACCAAGTCTGACCTTGTAATCGGGGAGTCTGGACATGCCAGGCCAGGTGTCTTCTGTGGGAGTCCCCAGCAATGTGCACAGAGGGTTAAGGAACTTTTCTTACTTCAGACACAACCTTGGGAGGAAGAAACACTCTGGAAACACAGCATGTTGTACAGACAAAAAGCCTAAACTTGGAAAGTGAGCAGTACCAGGTAAGGGAACTCTCCTGGTTAAAGAGCACAGAAAGGCAGTAACAAAAGAATCCACAAAAGGATATCTGAATATCCTCTTCAGCTGATCGTCTACGTCATTCCCAGGGAACAGCGGTCTGCCGGCGTTTGCCAGTTCTGGGGAAAGAACAGGGATTAACAGTCAGTATTCAGAAACAGTCATGCCTTCAAATATCAGATTTATCAACCAAGAATTGAGGTGTTCAAAAACTCGTATTTCCCAAGAACTATCGTAGACTGAAACTCGTTGCCACCAAGCACAGTTGGGACATCATCACTAGAAAGCTTTAAACAACTCCTGCAATTTAATGTACAAAGATTGGGTGTAACAAGTCATTTCATGTAATATAGCCAGCTGCCGCCACGCCGCGTGCCTGCAAAGTGCAGTTATACCAGCTATACCAATACTGATACAGACAAACTGACACCCTGAAAACAATACTACCATTTTCACAGAGGTAACAAAGAAAAAGCAAGCCTTCCCACCTGCAAATATACACCCAGCTGACCACATGTCTATGGAGGTGGAGTAAAGCTTGGCCCCAAACAACACATCAGGTGGGCGGTACCACAGGGTCACCACCTGGAGGGCAGAGGTCAGAGGGTAAGGGTCATGACCTGCTAAGGAAAGGTCATACTACTGCACTGTTTATTCTTACTCAAAGTCAGATACATTCATATATATGGTGAGCAGCCCCTCCAGCTCTGTCCTGCTACATAATGTAACCCAACACCACAGGGTGTTGCTACAGCACCAGTTATCATGGTGTCAGTTACTAGTATCTGGTCCAGGCCATTGTTGGGAGAAGAAGAAGAAACAGAGCAAAAACAATGTTTTTTCTTCAGGTAAACATAAAAGCACAAAACTGCCATCTCACCTCAGCGGAGTAACATCTAACCGGAATGCCGAAGGCTCGAGCCAGTCCGAAGTCGGCAAGTTTCAGCTCCCCGTTCTTGTTGATGAGCAGATTCTGAGGCTTCAGGTCACGATGAAGGACGTTGTGACTGTGGCAAAACGCCAGGCCTCGCAACAACTGGTACATAAACGACTGTAACAATAAGGCAACATTCAAATATTGCATTATTTCACATCAAATTTCACAAAAATAACAAGTAATATGTGCACAGTGCAATAATTTGACCTGTGACCTATACCATTTGACCTCTGACCTATACCATTTGACCTGTGACCTACCTTGACTGTTTCTGGGTCAATGTCTCCACTGCAGCTGTCAAAATACTTCTTTAAGTCCTGAAGATACAAGAAATGGTCATATATTATCAGAGTGGTGAGTTCATGAACCTGAATACACACCCAATACAGGGATCTCCCCAGAAATTTAGGACAGAATGGAGGAGGGTGCGAAATATCGGTAAATTTGACCAAAGAACCCTGGAAAAGGGTGTAAAAACACTAGTTTTGAAAATTAACAGGGTGGAGCTGAGATAAGGACTGGGTGGAGGAGCTCCACTGCTCCATTGTTTAGGGAGGTCCCTGCAATATTGTACATACACAAGCACACACATACATACACATTCAATACACACACAGACATACACACACATACACACATATTCACACAATACACATACATATTGTCAGTCTTGGTATTAAAAAATACAATATACAATTAAGTGTAGAGGTTGTGTGCAGGTTGTGTGCAAACGTTTTATTGATTGATTTATTAACTGATTAATGATTGATTGATTACCTGGTCACAATACTCGAACACCAAGGTCAGCTTCTTCTCACTGTGAAGGACATCGTGTAGTCTGGGGGGGGGGGAGACAGTTTAGAACCATCGTCATAATGTCTGTCTGCTTGCCTACACTACTAACTTAGTTAAGTCTCTTTCCTAAAAATGTTAGGTGTAGCTTCCAGGATTATTTGAATACTTTAGTCTACATATAACATGCATGTTTGTCCCATTGAGTTTGTTTTGAAGCTTTTCTGTCATTCTCTGCAAGATTTCTGTACCTGACAATGTTCTTGTGCTTCAGCTCCTTCAGTAGACAGATCTCCCTCAGGGCAGAACTTGGAACTCCCTGGAAGGAACAAGACAATAACGCCTTTAAGTGTTCTACAAGATGGTCAAAGCAAGGAACAATTTCCCTTGCTGAGCCCTTGGGTGGCATATGGACCCTCTCTGGCCAATGGATACTTACTAGTCAGTTTAATATTGTCTTTCACCACCCTAGGATCTGCTTGGAGATGAGGTACTAGTATTTGATTGACAGGAGTGATTGACATGAGTGATTGACAGGAGTGATGAACAAGGAGTGATTGACATGAGTGATTGACATGAGTGATTGACAGGAGTGATTGACAGGAGTGATTGACAGGAGTGATTGACAGGAGTGATTGACAGGAGTGATTGACAGGAATGATTGACAGGAGTGATTGACAGGAGTGATTGACAGGAGTATTGTTGTTACCTCATCATCATCGTCGAGTCGGACCCTCTTCAGAGCGACGATCTCGTGGGTCTCTTTGTTCTTGGCCTTAAACACTGTTCCGTATGTACCTGGGGGGGGGGGGGGCAGAGTTGTTAACAGTTAAGTATTGTGTATGTAAGAGTAGAGTAGAGTAGAGTAGACTTTTCGTCTCGGTAGGAAGTTAAGTTGGTATCATGATCTGCGTACTAGTACGGACAGTAGAGTACTCGCATGCCCTTTTCCGTAGAGCGTATTCGCCGTTTTAATTCTACGTAGAGCGTTGTAGCCGCTTGTACTTTATTGTAAAGCGTAATCGAGAGGTTTCCTGAATTCATCACTAACTAGTGTAATTCTAGCCAGCTCTCAACATTTAACGTAGAGCGTTGTCAGGACCCCCCCATGCAGGCCCCCTTCAAGTGGGGTCAATACAAGCAATCGCCATGACGTCACAGCCAGCGAGTGGTAAGCAAAAAGCAGGTGGCAGTTGGGTGATTGCCTACAGATAATTTGCATAAGCCTCATGATGATTGATGTAAACAGAAACAGCGATCGCTCATATTGTATATGATACTGATGCAACTAATGGAAAATTTGGGATGGGAGCCAGACATGCCTTATGTGAATATTTCCTGATGAGGTGAAGTACTAGTACATCAGCCCTGTGTGCTTGTTTTATCTTTGGCCTCTATTTAACTTCAAGTTTACTTTTATAATTTGATAGAAGAACAAAAGATCTCCACATTCCAATAACATTTAATATCAACATTTTTTTAGAAACAAATGAGAAACGTAAAAAGAGAGAAACCTGTACCGCAATATCTTACATTATTTGTCATCAACTATTTTAATTACATCTGATTACTAACAAAAATCATAAACCACTTTAGTAAGTGTCAAAACGCCCTTTCTTGACAATGTTAGTCCCAGTGTTTTGAATTTGAATGTCCCTTCCAAATCTCGCATTTGCAGCCCAGTTCGGCAAATCGCTTTCCAAACACCCAGCCAGCTCGTACAGAAACCCAACACGCCCCTTGGGGTGTGAAATAATGAAATATAAATTCTTACCTTCTCCGATTTTCTCCAATTTCTCATATTTCTGCATATTTGAAGATGTCACTGCACTTTCACGCCGGGACAGCCTGATGACGTCATGGGAATAGCCGCGGTGTTCTTTTATGGTGCCTGATAAATATCATCAAAACAGCAGCAGATTTTTATAATTTTCCTTTATTTAAGACATGAAAATATATATATTTGAAGTAAAAATTTACTATTATAAACAGAAGAAATACATTTTACGGTGTTTTTAGGAATATGAAGTTTTGTAAATCCGCAAATAATTTCAGGCAGTAAAAATTATACACCGGCCAGCTCCTTTGTTCGGTGTACCCAGACGCGGTGAAAGATTTCCGATTCTGTGTTGCAGAGGATGCAACAAGCGGGCATGCAGCGGGCTTTTCCCACTTCTGGATACCCTGTAAGTCTCATACTACAATAAAGGATTCCTTAGTGCATCTGTAGAACGCGCGGGAGGGAGAGAAATTTATAAAAGTTGTTGTTTTTGTTGATCGTGAAGTCGGCATCACAACAGCGCCTTGTTGTTTTGCGCCCCCCTCCCCACCACGGCGCTTTGCGATTCCTAAATTATGATAATTTGGCGTCCCATAAGTTATGTAGAGGCACCAAAGGTGAGGAGGGGTTCGGTAGACTGTTCCCTCGGTCGGTTTTGTCGCTGTGGGTTTGATTTTGTGGTAAATTTTAGCTTCAACGTCTTGTTTAGTTTATCCCAAAGGTACCGAGCATGCGTGGTTGCAGTGTTGGGGGAGGGGGCCTGATATGTGGGGAAATTTGACTCAGAAGATGATGTTATAAGATTTTGTTCCCTGTTGGCTAGCAAAGGCTTTGTCTTGGCTTTCTCAGCAATGAGGGTACGGTGGTGAGACGGATTCCTTCCTAGATTTCCAGTGCTGAAGTTACCACGGTGTGTCCAGTGTTGGCGGGGGGCCCGCAAGCCCTTTTCCGTAGAGCGTAATCGGCCGTTTTAATTCCACGTAGAGCGTAGACGGACCGCTCTAATATTTTTGCGTAGAGCGTATTCGGCGTTTTGATTCTACGTAATGCGTTGTAGCCACTCGGAATTTGTCGTAAAGCGTAATCGAGAGGTTTTCGAATGCAGGCTAGAGCGTTGTCGGGACCCCCCTTGCAGGCCCTCTTGGCGGCATGGATAGTCATGAAACTTAGATAGTAGTAGTGGGTGGATAGGTCTTGATGAGACCTCAAAAGGATTAGATTTTGGGCACCATGATGGCTTGTTTTTTGTTTGTTTGTTTTAGCACCCTGGGATGCAGCGGATGTCCCAGCAGATGCTTATTTCGGCACCAGGGCTCTCCCCAAGCAAGAGTGCTCCCCCTCTCTCCAAAATCCTTGCACATCTCACAAAATGTTCAAATTTAGGGTTCTCACTGATGTTTGTTTGTTTACTCCAGCACCCTGGGATGCAGCAGATGCCACAGCGGATGCACCCGTACGGCGGCCAGATGCGGCCCGTTGGCGGGGCGGAGTCTTCGCGCTCTAAGAGGCAGGCGGCAGATTCTCGCTCTAAGCAGCAGCAAGCGGCGCAGCAGAGTCAGCGAGGGTGAGCGCCGGACACCGTAACCGGGCACCGTAACCGGACACCGTAACGGCCGGAACCGCAATGTCAACAGGGCAGGGTCACTCACATGTCAATCAAACTTGTCAATCAAACGGTTTACCTTTATCTCACTCAAAATCATTCTAAGGTCTACATGACAAGTACTGTAACATTCTCTGACTGATGTATGGTTTCCAGAACCATGTCTATTTAGTTACTTAGGATCAGACACGGTTCTGGAAAGTCTCTGCATATCCAAGAACGTAGATTTGCCCCCGGCATGGTTCTGGATACAGGTGGACTATCCAGAACTGTGCCTGGGCATGATTCTGGATTTGACATCTGTGACTGACATCATCAGCAAAGACAGAAAATGTAAAACTTATGATCTTACAACAAACATCTGTTTCAGATTGTGTGATAGCTAAAGATGCTGCAGCCATGTTGGTGTCTTCATTTACATTTCAATAAATTGTAGGTCACAGTTTCTGCATTTTGTTCAAAGATTTGACGTATTTCCTTCTGTTCTTTCAGCTTCATTGAGCTCGAAAACATTCTGAATGTTTAAGTTCGAACTCACTAAGCTCTGAGAACAGAATATGTGTATTTCAAAGTTGGCCAATCAAACAACAGGATTCTGTATGCCCCGTAATTCACTGATATGCAAGTAGGGACACCAAGATGGCCGCCGCCCCACAGGAGACGTGAAGTGACTCTGCCCTCCCCCGCCCATGTAAGCCTCACTCCCATGCCCTAACCCAACGCGCAACATGTGTGTGATCGTCTCTCTCACAGGTCCTTACAGTCATTCAAATTTAGCAGCTCAAATATGGCCGCTCAAATACACACTTGGATCAACAGATAATTTTAGCAGCCTGGCTGCCATCCTCTGCAGTTTCTGAAGCTCCCTAATGTACCATGGAAGTAGACATTAGGGAGCTGGCAGAAACTACAAAGGATGGCAACCAGGCCTGTATGCATGTGCCATCCTGGTTAGTTTTTCCTTCATTCTGATAGTACAACCAGGCAGGTGTAGGCACTGACTATAGGAGAAGGGACGTAAGCTTACCAACTAACCAAGGTGATGCTACCTGAAACGTCTGACCTATTCCAAAATCATATCCAGTTGCTTGAGTAACTGTTTTTTGGTGTATCTTATTACCTGGATGTCTAACCTTCACTGATGTATAAACCATCTTAACTCTAAGCTGGACCTGTGAGAAGATTGACAGTAACACTCCAAAGTTGAAACATGTCCCTTGTCCGCAATCATTCATTCACAAAAGGTCATGCACTTTAACCCCGATTGGCGACCTGTGTTTTAGGCCCCCGTACCATTCCGTAGGTGTCCGTGTCCAACCTGACCTGCTGCCTGCTTGCTTCTCACCAGTCTGCATTTCATGCTTTGCTGCAGTTAGTCGTCCTTTGTTGTGTTAAAATGATGCCTGTTGTCTCCACACACCAGGTAAGATAAAGTAATGTTGTTTTTGAAGCAGATCCAGAAAGTCTTTGGTAATGTCGTGCTGGAATTTTAGATTTTTCTTAATATGTTTTAGCCTTTGAATGTAGGAATTTATGGTATAAGAAAAGCCATATTTTATGGTGTGGAACTTAAGAGATTTGATATTATGAAGAAGTGTTATGAATTCAATATCAGTTGACTTCAGCGGTTTTATGTTTGGTTTTGGAGTCTGCTTTTGGTCATTTCTGTAGAGTAAAACAGTCCTGAAAATAAGTCTGCACCATTTTTTGTGTTACTCATTTTGTGGTTTTCCTGTTGCCAGGAAGAAGAAGAAGGTGGCAGACAGGATCCTGCCCCAGAGGGTGGGTAGAGTTGTGTGTATTTTATGTACTTGAAACTTAGGTCAGATTAGGTTGAGTCGCTTATATGTACTGAAAAATCCACTTGCTAGTGGTGACTAAGCTATATCCATCTTTAGTCATTAGGTGACCTTGTGACTTTTGTCCTTATGAGTGTGACCTCAACTTTGTCCCCAGGCCCTGGTGTTTGTGACCTTATGACCTGTGTCCCCAGTTGCATGACCTCATGACCTTTGCCCCATGTCATAACCTCTGCCCTTTGCCCCAGGTGCGTGACCTTGTTCCCGAGTCGCAGGCGTACATGGACCTGCTGGCGTTTGAGCGGAAACTGGACTCCACCATCATGAGGAAAAGGCTGGACATCCAGGAGGCTCTCAAGAGGCCCATGAAGGTACAAACTCGTAAAAACTACAGCTAAAGTTTGTCATGCAAATTTGTGTGAGAACACAAATTAATTTGAAAAGGCTGGACATCCAGGAGGCCCTCAAGAGGCCCATGAAGGTATAAACTCCCTACAGACTACTGTATAACTAAAGTTGGGGAGAAGAAATACAACATTAACAAAGAGTGTAAACATGCAACTTGCATTTATATATTTTATACACGTCAAACTGTCATGAGAAATAGTAGCCTGGTTACCAAACCAATTTTAGCTGCTGAGTCCTACATCTTCTCTGCAAATAGCTAAAATAGGTTAAATGGTAACCAGGCTAGAGAAATAGGGCCTTGTAATGCTTATTTTCTGACATGTTTCGTCTGTTTTCTCCCCCAGCAAAAACGGAAGCTGCGAGTTTTCCTGTCCAACACCTTCTACCCCGCCAAACCTGATGCTGAAGGGGTGAGGATTAAGTAGAGTTTAGAATAAATTAGATGTTTTCTTTAGCATCATTATATTTATGATTCTTGTTTTTATTGATTTCTGTACTAGACGATTCTTTCAACAGTGACAGGTTGGAAGGGTAAGGATACTGACCTCCAAATTTTTGATGAATCAGTATGAGATGACTATCACTGTATCAGTCCATCTTTAACAAGATGTCCATGTTAAAGATGGACTGATAGTCATCGAAAATTTGGAGGTCAGTATCCTTACCCTTCCAACCTGTCACTGTTAAAAGAATCCTCTAGTAACTGTATCTATATGTGACAAATGAATCTTTTCAACGATATTGATTTCTTTGTATGCAACTGGACAGAGATGAATAGATAGATAAAACACATGCACATTTCACTTACAGTCTGCTGTGGGTTGTGTGTCTTGTTTTATTGTAAAGCCTGATAATGACTTGATAAGTTTCTTATTGTATTTCCTATGCTTCATATGTTTGATTGACCTTACATTTCGGAGGACTCAAGGTCATGTGTGTGTCTGTTGTTCAGGAGGAGGACGGGAATGTTGCATCCTGGGAGTTGAGAGTGGAAGGCAGACTGCTGGATGATGTAAGTCAACATATTTTGTTCATTCTGTTCAATCATAACCACCTTTTTTTCACCCTTCCTGTACTGTTCCTGCATGATGGTTTTGGCTAACCCTGATGACTGTGACAGTTAGATATACGACTTCAGTTTCTGTTTCTTTACTGTGGTCAGTACGATAGGATGTCTTCATACGGACCAAGTTTCATCTTGTGTCTGGGAACAAAAGTTGAGCGTAAGATCAACTCATCCCTAACAAGTTTAGCTCATGACTAACAAGGTCCACATGATTATCAAGGTTTTGTCCAGGTCTCAGCTCATGACTAATGAGGAAATTGTCCAGATCATGTCTAACGAGTTGTTTGTTGTGTTCAGCAGGGCATCCCCAGCACCAAGCACGACTCCCACAAAACCAAGCGCAAGTTTTCCTCCTTCTTCAAGAGTCTGGTGATCGAGCTGGACCGAGAACTGTACGGGCCAGATAACCATCTGGTGGAGGTAAACATTATGCATTTGCTTTGCAAATGTTACCTTTGTACTTATCTCCCAAGTTAGTAGAAGTAGTAGAAACCAGTCCCAGTTGGCTAAGGTGGTTTTGTGTTTCGTCAGTGAAGGTTAGACATCCAGGTAACTAGATATGCCAAAAACAGTTCCTCAAGCAACTGGATATGATTTTGGAAACTGTCAGATGTTTCAGGTAGCATCCACTGGCTTTCATCAGAGTTGTCAGAAAAGCAAATACAAACTATTTATTGATATGCAAATAATTTTAGTAAGTGAAGACAAATTTTGTTTTGTGTGTGTTGTTGTCCAGTGGCACCGCACGTCGACCACCCAGGAGACAGATGTTAGTAGCAGCAGTAAAAACCAGTCGGAGTTGTTTTTGTATTGACCAGTCCCAGTTAGATGAAGTTTTAAGTGATTTTATGTTTGTTATTGTCCAGTGGCACCGCACGTCGACCACCCAGGAGACCGACGGGTTCCAGGTGAAGCGGCCGGGAGATCGAGACGTACGATGCACAGTTCTACTCATGCTCGACTACCAGGTACGCTGGGGGTTGGTTTTTATCATGTTTCCTCTTCTTCCATTTTACATGGGTCACATTATGTAGCAAGTGGCAGGACAGAGTTTGAGGGGCTGGTCACCATAAACTGTCCTACTCATGCTCGACTACCAGGTACGATGGGCGTTGGTTTTGCACCCAGGGCACGAGATACTTGCTGCAGACTTTCACATTTAGGAAGTATGGATCATATTAGAAACAATTGCCATTATTTCATACCAGTAGGTGGTGACAGTCAATACTGCAAATGTGTATATATAAGTGCATGGACTGGTGCAGGTTAAGAACAAATGCCCAAAAAAAACATCCAGATGTAGTTGTTGCCATGACAGTGCAGGTTGTTGCGTTTACCTCTGTATTGGAGGTTATGGTTGTTTTTACTAGCTTTTACTACTTTGGAAAAAGAATGGAAGAAGTTCTTAAAACTTTCAGAAAACTGTTTGAACAAAGCTTGAACTTTACAACTATAGAGCTGTTTGTTGTTTACCTCCGTCCCGGAGGTTATTGTTGTTTATGTTTACCTCTATCTCACCACCAGACCAAGAAGTCTCAGCATTCTTCATTCCAACAGCCGCCACAGTACAAACTGGACCCTCGGCTGGCACGACTGCTGGGCATACACACACAGACCCGGCCTGTCGTCATCAACGCTCTGTGGCAGTACATCAAGACCCACAAACTACAGGACAGTCACGAGAGAGAGTACATCAACTGTGATCGGTACCTACAGCAGGTAAGGAACAAACAAACAAACAAACAAACACACAAACAAACTACAGGACAGTCACGAGAGAGAGAGTACATCAACTGTGATCGGTACCTACAGCAGGTAAGGACACAAACAAACAAACAAACACACACAAACAAACACACACAGACCCAACCTGTGGTGAAATGAACTGCCTTACAGTGAAATGTTAGACAACAAGAGGGAAAACAGTTACTTCATTTTATGATACTACATACAGTGGTATGATTTGAAATATAAGTGATTTTTTATTTAGTTTTCAGAGTTATCACAATTTTTTTCACACATGTATTGTGTTTTTTCTCGCAGATTTTTGAGTGCCAGAGGATGAAGTTTTCAGAGATCCCGCAGCGACTGCACCCCCTACTGCTGCCTCCTGATCCTATAGTTATCAACCACATCATCAGGTGAGTTTAACTCATTAACTAGTCATTAAGTACATCACCAGGTGGGTTAACTTATTAACCAGTAATTAACTAGTCATTAACCACATCATCAGGTATGGTCTACTTATTAACCAGTAACTAACCAGCCATTAACTACATCATCAGGTTGGTTAACTCATCAACCAGTCATTAACTAGTCATTAACTACATCATCAGGTGGGCTTTACTCAGTAACCAGTAATTAACTAGTCATTAACCACATTATCAGGTTGGTTAACTCATCAACCAGTCATTAACTAGTCATTATCTTGTCATCAATCACATCACTGGGTTTCCTTCACCCAAGAAAAAATCCTGCTAAAACTGTTTAAGAACAGGGTGTAGGAACAAAGATGTGGAGCTGTGAGGCGTAACAGCAGATCATTCGGCTCAGAACCAAGAGGTCCTGGGTTCGAATCATGCCATGTCACTGATCTTGTGCCCTTGGGAAAGGTATTTTACACAACTTTCCTCACTTCGCTCAGATGAAAATGAGTATGCCAGAATGATCATTATCATGGGCATGAAAAGAAAACTAAAACCAAAGATATCAGATGTAACTGTTTCTGCCTTCTCCAGCTGCTCCGGTCCTGAGCACAAGAAGACGGCCTGCTATGACATTGATGTGGAAGTCGACGACACACTGAAAACCCAGATGAACTCTTTTCTCCTGTCCACGGCAAGTCAACAGGAGATTGCTACTCTCGACAACAAGGTAGGGATTTGATATAGGGGTTTTCTTTTACACAACCAACATTGTCTCTTCCCTTGCTTACGTTTCGGTGTCCTTCCCCAGAGCTTGACCTGAGTCACTGACGTTTGGGATTGTGCAGAGCTGTAGTCAGAAGCTCTGAGGAAGGTTTCTGTGACTGTGTTGGATTCTAGTTTGACCTTTTCTTTATTTACCTGACAGATCCATGAGACAGTGGAGACTATAAACCAGCTAAAGGTGCAGCGAGATTTCATGTTGGGTTTCGCCAAGGAACCGCAAAGTTTCATCAACCAGTGGCTGGAGTCACAGTGCAGGGACCTCAAGGTGGGTGTACAATGTATATATAGCAGCTGATATGTGGAGTCATGTATAAAAAAACCTCACATTTTCTTCTCTAAAGATGAGTGCTATGCCAGCATACATCTTCCATGCGGCGTTCTACCAAACTTTGTAGTACAGACAGATGTACACAATGACATTTTGTTGTATTTTCAGTATACTTGTTACAGACGATGACAGACATGGTCGGCAGTCCTGAGGAGGAACGCCATGCAGAGTTCTATGTGTTGTTTATTTGTTATTTATTTGTTTGTTTGTTTATTTGTTACAGACGATGACGGATGTGGTCGGCAGTCCTGAGGAAGAACGCCATGCAGAGTTTTACCACCTGCCGTGGGCTGGGGAGGCCGTCTGCCGCTACTTCTACGGGAAGGTACGGAGGAGGGAATCTTACCATCAACTTCTCATATGTTTACCTGCACAGAAAGAAAACATGTTTAAAACATCTTGTCTTTTACACAAGAAAACAGTCACTAACGAAAAGTAGTGGATGCTACTCCAAATGTCTTGAGAGTTTTCAGGACCTATCCAGTTGCTTGAGTAACTGTTCTCTTGTGTATCTCATCACCTCGATGTCTGCTTTCATCAACATATCTTTCTTTTAGTAGTTTTAGTAGCATTTTCTCACACTGAAACTTGACTCTCACTGACTTGGGAAGTGCATTCTTTTGATATGTCTTGATTTTGTAGTGATGATAGCAGGTTTATTTTGTAAAACTGATGAAGATTTTTGTTAAATTGTGTTTTTTTCTCTCCCTCCAGGTTCAACAGAAGAGAGCTGAGTTAGAGCAGGCTCTGAGTGTCAGAAACACATAGATGTGCAACACGCTGTGAACTTGGGCCACGCCATTTCCATGGTTCTCAGACACTGTAACATGAAATATATCAGGCAAACATTATAAAAGCGGAGTGCAGAAAGGAAAACTTGAATATGACACTGTATTCCCTTCATGAAACTGAGTTCACCGAGACATAGACCTGGTTCTCAGGCTTTGTTTTCACATTTTTTCCAATTTAGCATACATGTACTACGAATATTTTTAGCAACTAAAAAATTAAATTGGTCTGGCCCAAGCATACTAGTAGCTGCTGTGTCAACAAGATCTTTACGACAAGACAAGAAAGTTGTCATCACTGTTCAAGTCTGAAGCTGTGACTAGTATATCATGCCTATTTGAGACAATGGTATGAATTTTTCACACACACACACACACACACACACACACACACATCAGATTTGTTGTCTCATGAAGACGCCATCCATGAAATGACATTCACATGGCCTCACTCTTGTGGAAGCTGTATAAAACATGGATTTGTCATGTCACCAAAAATAGATACAATTTTCTGTACTGCCATACAACATCATATCAATGAAGGATGATTCTGTCATATCTTAGCGTCTCATTTCATGTTTTTTTATGAATATTAAAGACCACAACAGTCAGGTATCCGTAAAAAGTATTACTACAGAAATGGTGATTTCTGTGTTGTGTTGTTTTGACTCTTTGTGTGTGTTAATAAAGAGAGACTGAGAGTGTTTGAAAAAACAATTTAAACTGAATTGTTTGAAGGGTCGAAGTGTTCAAAGAGTTTTATATTTTATCAGAGGTATACACACTCCCAGAGAAGGAACTTAAGTACAAATGTACAAGATTCGTATATATTGCCAAATAATTCTGCAGAATGTATGAAATGTGCATTACAAAATCAGTAATAATTGATTATATGACACTATTTTGACACAAACTGCACATTTACATGCACAAAATGGAAAATAAATTTGATACTGGACCCAAAATTCAGTAATGGAGACAAAAAACATCAACAGATGCTCCCATGATAATGCTTCAAGGTAGTTTTAGGGGTCTTTATTTTATTACTACAGAATGATAGGATTATGTACAGTAAAAAGATATATTAGACTGGCTTTTCTGGCTTACCCTAAACTAATAAAAAGTCCCTAAGGATTTACGTTAGATGAGTGAATAAGCTTTCAGGAATGTGGTTGGCTGTGGGCCAGACGTTACAAATTTGTTAGAAGGTTATATTTGACAGTTTTCCCTGCGTAAATTTGATTAAAATTGGATAATAAGATCACGTTTTTAGTACCGTGTTAAAGCACTACTGGCCCCTCGGGTTTACCGTATGTTAATGAGCGCCCGTTCTGCGCGCTGATTGGTTGAGAGCCGGCCACACCAAATGTGTTAGAAAGTGACGTTCCACAGAAGAACAAAAATGGCGGAAGGTCTGGATGCCCGAGAGTTCGGCAAGTCGGATTTCGTCCTTTTGGACGAAGTCACGATCGAGTCCTTCATGCAGAACCTGAAACTCAGGTGAGAACACCTTAATACACACCTGTGGTAAACTTTCCTCAGGTGGTAAGGCTGGGAAAGACAGTTATATCCCCGTTTCGGGTCACTGGTCGCTAATAATTTTACGTCGTCTGCCAGCGAGCGAAAAAAAAAATTCGCATAGTTGTTCTTTTACGTCACTTTGCACTTGAAACTCTTACATTCCTAACACGGAATTGTGTGCTTGTATGACCACTTTAGGTTGGTATTTGGGTAGTTTTGAAGTGTTATACACTTGTTGTAAGTCCGTTAGAAACTGTTAATTGTTAGTTCCGGTGTAAGCATAGGGGCAACTCCCAAGTTGAACTCTTATTCACCGGTCACCAAAATGGAGATATATCGGCAAATAACGGTTTACTAAAGTCGTTAGCTAGAGTAGCTGCGATGGTTTCTAGGCGTAACACACTGACAGAACTAAACTACAAACTTAACTTGTTTCTAACTATATCTAGAATAATTTAAGAGCCCTCCGTTGTATTCAAATTATGAATTGGTATAAGTATCCACTCAAAATGCAACCGTCGATATTTTCTGTATCTGTATCTGTATAGCCGGTATAACCGCCTTTCGGCGTAACACACCAGCTTCGCAGGCACGCGGCGCGGCGGCAGCTGGCTATATTACACCGATCGACTTGTTACACCTAACCCTTGAACTTCTAGCTCTAGACATTGTTTAAAGGTATCTATTGACAGTGCCCCTACTGTACTTGGTGACAGTGAGTTCCACTCTGCGATAGTTCTAGGAAAGAATGAATTCTTGAACACCTCAATCCTTGGTTGATAACTCTGGTACTTGAATGCGTGGCTATTTCTTGTTCTCTTCTGGGCTGGTATTAGGTACTTAGTAGTTGGGACATCCACCAGTTTATTAGTCATTTTGTACATCATGCATAGTCTAGACATTTTTCTTCTGTCTTCAAGTGAGGTCCACTGTAGGTTTCTTTTCATTTCCGTGACACTAGCACCTGTTACATAGTTGTTCATACAGAATCTTGAGCTTGATTCTGTACCCTTTCCAATTTGTCTTTGTCTTTCTTTGTATATGGATCCCATACTGTCGCAGCGTATTCTAGGTTCGGTCTTACAAGTGACGTGTATGCAAGTGATTTTACTCTCGTTGGACATGCCCACAGATTACGTTTAATCACTCCCAATGTCTGTTTCGCCTTAGTTGTGATATTATTAACATGTGCACCCCACTTCAGTCCGCTTGTCATCGTGACGCCCAGATACAGATGGGTTTTTGTGGTTGCTAAAGCCTGACCACAAAACTGGTAGCTAGTTGCATGTGGTGTTCGTTTGTTTGTTATGTGCATAATGTAGCATTTTTCGGGATTAAACTGCACGAGCCATTTGCTTTGCCATTCTTCCAGGGTGTTCAGGTCTTTTTGGAGAAGTTGTGAGTCGGTCTGTGTAGAAAGCTCTACATACAATAGACAGTCATCGGCAAATAACCTCACATTTGAGTCAAGCTGATCTGGTAGGTCATTTATATACAAGAGAAAGAGCAATGGCCCCAGGACGGTTCCTTGAGGGACCCCAGACGCTACTTTAACTGGAGCCGACGCCTTCCCTTCAACCACTACTGTTTGCTCCCTGTTGGTCAGGAAAGCCTTTAACCAATTCAGCGTAGGGCCTTGGATTCCATAATACTCCAGTTTTGAGATGAGCCTGCCATGGGGGACTTTATCAAAGGCTTTAGTGAAATCAAGTATTGCTAAATCTACCTGCCATTTACTGTTTAGTGCGCCAGCTATGTCATGGACTGTTAGTATAAGCTGTGTTTCTGTGGATCGTTTGGCTCTGAATCCATGCTGGTAATCCGTTAATATACTGTAACTTTCTAGGTGCTTCATGATTTGGCTATGGATGATATGTTCAAGTAGTTTGCAGGATATGCAGGTCAGTGAAACAGGTCTGTAGTTACTGGGGACCGCTCTATCTCCTTTTTTAAAGATGGCGCATATATTTGCATCCCTCCAATCTTTAGGGATTTCTGCAGTGTTTAGCGAGTGTTGGAAAATATTGGTTAGAACAGGCGCGATTTCACTAGCTGTCAACTTGAGGAACCACGGTGGTATTTGGTCTGGTCCGGATGCTTTAGAGGGATTGAGACCTTGAAGCATTTTTTCGACACCATCAGTAGAAACTACTATATGTCCCATTTCACTTTCATATACAACATCATAGTGTAATAATAGATCTATTACAAATTCTTGCTTGACAAAGAAAAATGAAAACGACAAAAAATACAATGAATAACAATTTTGATAATATAACATATTGTGATCTACTCTCATCTAAATGCTGATGCTAAATTCTTAACTGATTCACTTAAAATTAAGTCTTAAGTTTGACTTCTTTTCCTGAAACAGTGGACAGGAAAAGATCCCACTTTTTGAAGTTTTTCCACAACATTTAACATCCTGTTTTATCATGTTTTATCATACACATAGACTAGATCAAGAAATGTTTTCAAAATATGTTCTAAACCTCCGATTATGGCTCTAAAAGTCAAGTTAAACCCAGAAAAAGCTCTCTTTACAAACAGGTTGTTTTGAACCAAGTCTAGTCACCTAAATATTTCTAAAGACCTGTACAGCCTTTCTCCCTTACACTGTTCTATATTTACACCTCACAATGCTGTAATGTAAAGGCTATCTCTCTCCCATCTCTACTTGTTTGTTTAGTGGGTGTGTGAGGGAGAGGTGGTAATACTCTACAGGCAGGGGCTCCAAGTAGTTTGGCTGGACTTTTCTAGGATTGACCTACACGACTTAAGAAAAGAAAACTCTTGGTTTTTCTTAAGTCCTAAAGAATGAGGGTTACACAAATATTTTTTTCTTACCCGTATATAGTATATAACACGTACATGTACACCTTATGCTCTTTTTAAAACTTTAAATGGATACAAATGAAGGTACTCCCTTTCATCTCAAAACAAAAAAAAAACTTACCAAGCAAATGCTAATTCTTGAAAAAAAATTTCATCTAGACTATAGTCTGACTGTTTAATCTTACACCACTACATTAAATTAAATACATAGAATGCTTTTAAAGGCTGATAGAACAATGAATCTTGTAATGTAAGTCTGAAATGTTGATACCTGACACACTCCTCTTAAGTTAATTGCTGTTGTAAAAATGTAAAGTCCTGTAAAGTTTCTGTTATCATGCAAAACTATGATAAACGAATACAGTAAAGTTAATCCGGTGACTGTAACAATCCACTCTGCCATGACATGCCCACTTTGTACACAGCAATTCTGCCATTCATAGGAGCTAAACAAACTTTCAACTGTAGACTTTGTGTCATTACATGTCTTTTATTTCTCTGTTTTTGTAGTTAAGTACCAGAGAGTTGTTATGTTATGGTCCCTCTCAGAGAAAATATCACAAATTTCCAAAAGTCCCAAACACAATTCTGGCATTCATAGGAGCTTAACATACATCTTGTAAGCTTTGTGTCATTATAGAGCTCTATGTCTTTTATTTTTTCTGTTTTTGGAGTTAAGTACCTGAAATTTATTTTGGAACATAAGTCCCATAGAGAAAACAAGCACTACATTTCAAAAGCAAAAAAAATCTTTAGATCTTTATTTTCGAGTTAAAAATTAAAATGGACTATTTTAAAGCTGAACATTGAAGCTAAACACTCAGAACCCAACATAAAATATCCATAACATTACATATATTAGAATTTAGATCTATAGATGTTTGAATCCGGAATACTACTAGTATGTGTTTTGACATACAGGTACACATCACAACAGGACTGTTATCATTCTGTGTCTGCTATAAAGTAATGCAAACAAACATCAAGTAAAAAGTGATTTAAAACGGTCCATGTTAAAGCTGAACCTAAACACTGAACCCAACATGAAATATCCATAACATTATACATGTAGTTGTCTATTATGTGATGTGTATCTGTTATCCATGTCTGTTATCTGCATTTTGTATGTCTGCTATAAAGTAATGCAGGAACTATTTAAAGAATAAACATTGACGCAGATCAGTAAACAGTGAGAAATCCTTATCAGATCTGAACCAGGTACGTCACTGTTGTATCTAGAACCTTGCTCAAACACGGTTCTGGACAGTCCACGCTTATCCAGAACAGTGCCTGAGGCAAATCTATGTTCCTGGATACGCGGAGACTATCCAGAACCATGCCTGATCCTAACCCTAACCCATTCAGGCATAGAACTAGATAGACACAGTTCTAGATACAATAGAGACTATACAGAACCGTGCCTGATTCTAACCCTAACCCATTCAGTCTTAGAAATAGACAGGCACCGTTTTGTTCTGGGTACAATAAACGTCACTGTTGTTAGTCTGGACTTTGTTCACCTGTTGTAAGTGTTTTGTCAATACTTTTACTTCCTCTTCAGAGAATTCTTTGCTGAAGTCAGTGAAGAATAAGAAAAATCCCTTCTGGCTTCCTTGACTTTTAGCCTACTTAAGGACACGTCATACTTCCTTATAAGTAAGACTTTTATATCTGCAAGAATATAATCATGGCTCGTATTGTATGTAATAATAGCTTCAAGTTAGTTGTACTGTCCTGCCTATATGTTGTACCACTAAATAAATATGGCTTTAAAATAAGTCAAAGTCTAACTGGAAATGAAGAGAAATCTTCTTGCTTACTGGTGTTTTTGAAACAATGAACACAGCAAAGTTTTCAATATTTTCCTGGCACACCTATCAAGAGTATTCTGTATGCTAGTCATAAATCACTAGTACTACTAGTACATGTTGTATACCATTAGTACCTTCATAATGCACATACATGTAATTTTATCACACAATATCTCTAGAGGTGCACCCACAGTCAAAACCTTGGTGCACAGTTTAATGCTGGGTGCAGGAAAGTCTGTTGGAGTTGACTCTAACGTTAACTCACCTGGAGTTGGTAATGGCCAGGTGTGGCTCCTTCATGGGTCCTTAACTCCCTTCCCTGACCTCCTACACTGTGCTCAGGTGTTTAACAGAGAAGGATGCTCTAACCTCAAGCCTCGTGCTGCATAACTATGGAATCCTGCTGCAGGAAAAGTAGATTTAATTTATTTTAATCTAGTGGATATCTAATAAAAGAACATTAAGTATCAAATGCTTGAGTTAGCATATGACACAAATGAATCCTTTCAAACACTTTTTTCTAGAAGGGAAAAAACTAAACACAACTTGTAGTGTGTATGTCAGTTAAGCCCTTAGACAGAACAATAATCTACAGCCATCATAATAATGATTCATATAACCCATTTTTACAACACTAGTGTTACATCTACAAATGACTACTAGCTCTCTATCTGTGTAGGTTCCAGAAGGGTAAAATCTACACGTACGTGGGAGAAGTTGTGGTGTCAGTAAACCCCTACAGAACCTTGGATATAATAATCCACAGCTAACAATACATATAACCCATCCACAAATACTAGTGGGAGTTTATAATTCTATCACTATACATTTACAAAATAACAAATGGCTCTCTCTTTTTGTGGCTCTGATGTAGGTTCCAGAAGGGAAAAATCTACACATACGTGGGAGAAGTGGTGGTGTCAGTAAACCCCTACAGAACCATGGACATCTACGGCCCGGACGCTGTGAAACGTTACCAGGGTCGAGAGTTCTACGAGTGCCCGCCGCATCTGTTCGCTGTCGGGGATGCCGCGTACAAAAGCATGAAGAGACAGGCCAAGGACACCTGCATCGTCATATCAGGTACGGTTTCGTGATATCAGGTACATGTCTAGAGTTAAAACTTTAGATCCAGCACAAAAAGTGCTACTCTAGAGCTACTCTGGTCTTCCTCAGTAGACTGACCCGGTGATGCTTGTCTTTGAAATGTGATGTCAACACTGGGGCAAGGGAATATCAGGTACAGTTTTGTCTGTTTGTATGTAAATTGCTTGTGTTTCCATAGTAAGGTTCAGAACCAATAGGGAAATATATAGACTGAATCACCGAGAAACTGACAATAATGAATAAAACAAGAAATCACAACAACTCTTGATACTTCATGCATAGAAGAGTGAGGTCTTTGATGTCTATGTTCTTTCCAGAAGTATGTGGATTTTTATTTGCAGCATTAATTGTTATTACCTTTGAAGTATAAAAGAAATAATGACAATGGTTTCTGAAAAAATTTGAGTATGATCCATACTTCCTCAATTCTGAGTGGTGCAGGTATATTTTGGCAGTTTTCAATTATCTCCTCTAGTTCAGGTATGTAGAAGAAGTATTTCAAGCCTTGACCTTGAACTTCATTTATCCAGGTGAGAGCGGTGCAGGAAAAACTGAGGCATCTAAAATCATCATGAGGTACATCACGTCTGTGTGTTTGTGTGTATGTTTGCTTGTGTTTCTGTATTAACTCCTTAATGCTCTGTCCAGGTGAGAGCGGTGCAGGTAAAACGGAGGCGTCTAAGATCATCATGAGGTACATCGCAGCAGTCACTAATGTCAGTCAGAGACAGGAGGTCGAGAGGTGAGACGTTACTAACAGCTTAGGTCTAGGAAAAATGTTGTGTTTCCTGTTTCAGTCCTTAAAAAGATTAGGGTTAGTAGGTAGGGATTATCTTTGCCAAAGTTATAAAAAAAGAAAGAAAAACAATCTCTAGTGATCCAACACTACAGTTTAACAAAGAAAAACTTGCATGAGGACACTTTTATTTTCAGTGTCATTGTTGGAAAACTGATGTACAATGTTTCAGTCTCTCAGGTCTAAGAATAACATCACATATCTTTAAAGTCTTGTGTGAATAACTCTCACAGCTTTACATTTTGCAATGATTGGTCATTACTTATCCTGATGAAGGCGACAGTGGTCATTGAAAATTTGATCTCTCTGTACCCTTTTGTTAGAATAAATTTTACATTTTACTATCATTACGTTCCAACACAGATGAACTTTCATGGCTCTGTATTTTATTTCCCAGAGTGAAGAACATCCTTCTGCAGACCAACTGTATCCTGGAGGCCTTCGGGAACGCGAAGACCAACCGGAACGACAACTCCAGCCGCTTCGGCAAGTACATGGACATCAACTTTGACTTCAAGGGAGACCCGATTGGAGGCCACATCAACAACTATCTACTCGAGAAGGTGGGAGAAAACATGAAATATGAAATGAGAAATATGTTTCAATTTTACACAAGAAAACAATTACTCAAGCAACTGGATAGATTTGAAAGTTGCTTGAGTATCTGTTACCTTGGTACCACAGTATCTTGATGTGTAATGAGGAGTCAGACTTTTCAGATTGTATCCACTATCTTTCATTAGTGACTAAGAAAGATATTGTTTTACTTTCTCAGTCACTGGTGAAAGACATTTGATGCTGTCCTAAATGTCTGACTTTTCAGAGAATATACCATCAAAACTGGTTATGATTTATTTTGCATTAATTTACATTCATCACACATGATTAGCTTGTTTTAAATTAAGCTGAACAATCGTATTAAAAACAGCCCAAAGAGAATTTAACAGTACGTATGCCTGGTGCAATCTGTAGGACCTGGTTTAGATTACATGATATTTTTGTACCTCTTCTTAGTGCCTTCTACATAGTATGTTGAGACTTGTTGTAGTCTGCTATTTCTGTGTATCCATATATATAAGCTAATATCCCCAGACGTGTGAAGCTCTGTACAGGAAACCTGTCCTCACAGATAGTCAGTTCTGTTGACAGGAACTTTCACACTTCAAAGTGAGCCACACAGACCTCCGGGTCTGTTCACAAGTTTTTACCAGCCACATATAGTACTGAGATCCTGCTGCAACTTATCTAGATGGAACTACATCATAACAAGGACAAAAACTCCATGATAGAAATAAAAACATTCAGCGATGTTCTGTGAAAACCTGTAACAAGTTAACTTAGCTAGGACTAACAGAAATATTTTAAGAAAGTATTAAGTTTATCTTTATAAACAGTTGACAGTGTTCATTTGGTTGCATTTGGTAACTTTTCTAAGCCCTTTCACACATCACAACATGTACTACTAGTCTGCCTACTGATGCTTAATATATTGTACATTCATTTGTCAGTCTCGTGTAGTGAGTCAGCAACCAGGAGAGAGAAACTTCCACTCCTTCTACCAGGTAAGAAATACTAATTATCATTACCAAACAGTAATTATGATCGTTTTATTCATACTTACACTCTAATTCAGTTCTTTGTGACTGTCTGGAGCTTACTTTGTCTGGTTTTTACTGAGTCCAAACTTGTGTTTGTGTCCCAGCTGTTGTCAGGTGGTCCGGACCATCAGATACAGAAGATGCACCTGTCCAGGTCTCCCCAGGTGTACACATACACCTGTCCTCAGCAGCAGCAGGTGAGGAAGGCTGTATCATTATGTAGTACAAAATAAACAAAGCAAGTGCATGCTGTATACCTTCACATGGTCTATGCAAGCAAGCTACTGCTCTGTTTATTCTATTAACTCAAATATTGTTATATCAGGATAGAGTTGGACCAGCCCCTTCAACTCTGTCCTGACACTTGTTGCTACATAATGTAACCCAACACCACAGGGTGTTTGCTACAGTGCCAGTTGCCATGGCAACAGCCATCTGGTCCAGGCCATTGACCTTTTTTGTTTTGAGAAGAATAAAAATGCTGAAACAAGAGTAGAAAGAATATGTTTTCCTTCTGCAAAGGTTAAAACCTAATGAAGCATTTATTCCGCCAAAAAAAGTGGATATGATTTTGGAAACGGTCAGACATTTCAGGTAGCATACACTTACCTTTCATCAGTGACACTGGAGAGTTGTCAGAAAAGCAGGTTCATAAGTACAAACTCTTGATTGATACGCAAATTAATGGAAACAAATTTTTTTTGTTCCTCCGTCTCCCCCTAGTCCGACCCAGGCCCGTTCCCGATCAGTGACAAGGCAGATTTTAAAGCTGTCCAGGCAGCCATGAAGTCTGTGGGGTTCAGTAAGGAGGAGTATGCTACTGTCTACAACATTATTGCTGCCATTCTGCACCTCGGGAACATCGAGTTTATCTCTGAGGACGAGGAATCATGCGAGGTTTGTTTGTTTGTTTGTTTGTTTGTTTGTTTGTCTGTGGGCTTCGGTAAGGAGGAGTACGCCACAGTTTACAACATCATTGCAGCCATCCTGCATCTGGGGAACATCGAGTTTATGTCTGAAGACGAAGAATCCTGCGAGGTTTGTTTGTTTGTTTGTTTGTTTGTCTGTGGGGTTCACTAAGGAGGAATATGCCACAGTCTACAACAGCTTTGCACACACTAATCACAATCATGAAAGTTCATCTGTGTTGGTAGTTATATGTTAAGAGGTAAAACATTTGCTCCAACACTAAGAAGTTTGTGTACCAGATACCTTTGACCCAGTGTTGACGTCACACTTCAAAGAAGCCACGTGACAAGCCTCACTGGGTCAGTCTACTGAGGAAGACCAGAGTAACTGGTCGAAAGCTCTAGGTGAGAGAACTTTTTGTGTTGGATCAAAAGGTTTAACTCCAAACAAACCCTAACCAAAGACTGTTTTGCCCCCCAGGTAGCAAACAGAGATGCCCTGTCGGCCGCGGCAGAGCTGTTGCGTACAACAGAAGACGATCTGGCGAAGGCGCTGTGTTTCCGCGTGGTGGCAGCGAGAGGAGAGGTCATGACCAAAGGTCACACACAGCAGCAGGCCTGCTACGGGAGGGACGCCTTCGCTAAGGTGGGTGGGATGGAGCTTCTTTACTGTACCTTTAATCTTGACTATCAAACATATCTGGGCAGCTTAACAAATCTTGAACGGAGCACTCCAAAAACGTGTCTTCCAACCTGGCAGATTTATAATATTATTGTGTTATCAATGTTTTTAATATGATGTTATTAATTACGGCATTCTGTGTTACTAATATGTTAAAATCTGCTATGAGTTCTGTCACGGCCAGTAGAAGAGTGTCCATTGAGTACATTTGAGCTTAATTGGTTTGAGATCATTTCCACTTTCAACTACATTACCTGTTTCAATGTGACAGATTTTTTTTTATTTACTTCAATTTTAACCTCAACAAGGCTCATACAAACCACTCGCATGTTTTTGGTATACATTAAGGAACTGCAGAGACAGATTTTTGTTCCACTAGACTTGAAAAGTTTCTCATATTCTCATATTCTTTTTTCTATCTGTTCCCCCCTCCAGGCCATCTACAAGCACCTGGAAAACTGATTGTACAACATTTCATTACCCAGGTGTCAGATCATGAAGCTTGAAAAATCTATGTGCCTTGCAGGGGTCCACACACAAAAAAAGCTACTGTCAGCAGTTTTTTTCTAGGGTCGGTGGAGAAACAAGAAACACAACATTTTTGTTCCCAGCCTATGTTACATGTATTTCCACAGTAACTGTTGCTATATTGTTATTATATAGTTCTCATCTTTTGTGTTTTCTACCTCCAGGCTATCTACGAGCACCTGTTCACGTGGATCGTGAGCCGCATTAACGACGTGATCGCGGTGAGAACCACTCGGCATCAGCACGGGAAGGACACCGTCATCGGCGTGCTCGATATCTACGGCTTCGAGATCTTCGAAAATAACAAGTAAGAAAACAGAAATCCCAAGTATAGCTAGAAAAGCTGAAAATAGTAAGAAAACAAAAATCGGAACTAGATAGGCCAAAAATAACAAGTATGAAAACAGCAATCTGAAGTATAAATGGAAAGGCCAAAAATAACTCCAACTCTGTCCTGCCACTTTCCACACATAATGTAACCTGACACTACAGGGTGTCTGCTACATTACAGTTACCATGGTGACAGACATCTGGTCCAGGTCATTGACCTTATTTGTTGTAGAAGAAGAAACAGAGCAAAAACAAGATGTTTTGCTTCTGTGAAGGTAAACATAATTAACAGAGTCTCTGCTTGTGTCACCCTCAAAACAAACAAATAAACAAACAAACGTTTGTGTTTCAGCCTGGAGCAGCTGTGCATTAATTATTGTAACGAGAAGTAAACAAACAAACAAACAAACGTTTGTGTTGCAGCCTGGAGCAGCTGTGCATTAATTATTGTAACGAGAAGTAAACAAACAAACAAACAAACAAACGTTTGTGTTGCAGCCTGGAGCAGCTGTGCATTAATTACTGTAACGAGAAGTTGCAGCAGCTGTTCATCGAGCTGGTTCTGAAACAGGAGCAGGAGGAGTACCAGCGGGAGGGGATCACATGGACCAACGTAAGTATGATCCAGCAGGGGGATCTCAGATCTAACACTGGGATCTCAGGGTGGGATCTCTGGGTGGGATCTCTGATCTAACAGTGGGATCTCAGATCAAAGTTAGCTTGTTATGGTCAGAGCTGGTTCTGAAACAGGAACAGGAGGAGTACCAGCGGGAGGGGATCACATGGACTAATGTAAGTATGAAAGCTTTTGAATGAAAGCTCATCTGTGTTCAAGAATCCATAGTTGTAGTAAGAGTTCAAGCTTAAATTTTTGGTCAATCTCGTCAACCTTCGTCAGATGTGTGATGCACTCGCTGACTCTCCGGAAGTCGGAAGCGTAATGATGACAGGAGTGAATCAAAAGTGGTGGGAAGACGGAATCTTCCACCGTCACGGTTCAGAGACGTCATCACGTTTCCATGATGAAATAGAGAGTTTCTTTCTTGTGTGGGAACAAAGCTTGAACTCTACAACTAAGTAAGTCTGATCTAACGGTACTGTTGATCTCACAGTCAGGGTCTTGTATAATGGAGTGTGTGGTTGTATAGTTTGTTTAATTGACAGAACTTAAAGTTATTTTCTGTCCTGCCCACAGATTGACTACTTCAACAACAAGATTATCTGTGACCTTGTGGAGCAGCAGCACAAGGGCATCATCGCCATCCTGGACGAGGCTTGTCTGAGCGTGGGGAATATCACAGATAAGGTAAACAAACAAACAAACAAACAAACAAACAGGCTTGTCTGAGCGTGGGGAACATCACGGACAAGGTAAACAAACAAACAAACAAACAAACAGGCTTGCCTCAGATAAGGTGCTTGTTAGTGTGTCCAGAACAGTGCTTTATCCAGAATTATGATCAGGCACGGTTCTGTGTATCCAGAACCATGCCTGGAGCAACTCTACGTTCATGGATGCACAGAGACTATCCAGAACCGTGCCTGATCCTAACCCTAACCCGTTCAGGCATAAAACTAGACAGGCATGGTTCTGGATAGGATAGCACTTGTCTTCAATTGGGAAGTTTTAAAGGTCTTTGTTTTCCTGTCTCTGTACCTTTCATTTTGATTCATTTCTGCATTACCGGCAAGTATAGCCTGCATAGTGAGTGAGTGTATCTGATTTTTGGTGTAACACAACTTTGATTCTGTTGCAGATGTTCCTCCAAGCCATGAACCAGAAGCTCAGCAACCATGAACACTACACAAGCAGACAGGTAAGGAGTGAATAGACTGAAACATTTCTGTACATCTGACTTATAACATTCTGTGTCTGTTTCTGGCTGGTGTAACTGCCCTCCTGCACAACACACCAAGACTTAGTAGAATAACATGTATGAAGAATATATTGTATATATATACAGGCAAATACCAGGTAAACTAAAATGGTCTTAGGGTATAGGATTTTCTTCTAACACAACCAGTAAGGTTCTCACCTTACGTTTCGATGTCTATCAGACACCTTCCTCAGAGCTTCTGACTGGAGTTCTGCAACTCGCCGCTATTTAACGCCAAAGTAGGTGGCGCTTTTGCGGCGAGAATGCAATCCCAAACGTGGCTGAGCTTGTATCCCCCCTCGTCCCGGTTCATCACTGGGGTAGACTTCCTTATCCAGACTGCTTCTTTAATCCAACGGATTCTTCTATTGTCCTCTCTATCTATGACCCTGGCACCCTCCCAGTCTATCACACAATTGTTTCTGGCAACATGATCTGTGACTGCCGATTTCTTCTCTTCTTTTTGTGCTTGTTGTTTCTGGGAGCGTGTATATCTTACGGTTTCGCTGTAAGAGCGCCACCTACTTTGGCGTTAAATAGCGGCGAGTTGCAGAACTCCAGTCAGAAGCTCTGAGGAAGGTGTCTGATAGACATCGAAACGTAAGCAGGTGAGAACCTTACTGGTTGTGTTAGAAGAAAATCCTATACCCTAAGTATCTTCCAACCTGATGAAATTATTTACGGTAAAATGGTCTTTTCGGATTCAATAATCTATGTGTAAGTGCTGCTATCATGATTTGATGTCTAACTTGTGTTTGTTCTGTTCTAGTTGGTTCCCACAGACAAGACCTTAGAGCACAGCAGAGACTTCAGAATCAGGCACTACGCCGGATCTGTCACGTGAGTTACACCTTAGTCTGTACAGCTGTACAATATACAATACATATATCACGATACAGGGCTCGAAATTCATTTTTTGGAAAAGGTGCACAGGTGCACCCAACCTAAAAAATTGGGTGCACAACTCCAAATTTGGGTGCACTAAGGTGTACATGCACCCAGTATTTCCAGCCCTGTAATATCTGACAATGTTTCTCTGTGTCTCAATGTCCAAAATTTGTCAAAACATTGATATGAGTGTTTGTGAAGAAATAAGGTCGCCATCGATTACTCTTTGTCTTCTTCCTGCAGCTATTCTGTGGAAGGTTTTATCGACAAGAACAAGGACGATTTGTTCCAGGACTTCAAGAGACTCCTGTTCAACAGGTGAGTGAAGAAAGTCTGTGCCACAGGTGGGATGTGGTCAGGTGGTCCTTCTGACAAACTTTTTTGTCTCTTCACTCCAAAGTATTCCTTATATCAGATACATGTTGACAGTTATAATTAGTAAATTAAAATACATTTTCCTGTCACAGTGTTTGTTCAGGCAAAGGTGAGTTACTTTTATTCTGAGACACAGCAGTGTTGAAGTAGCCAGTGGCGTTGAATGACTTTGTGTTTAGGCTAGCAAACACAAGACTGAGATGTCACAGGTTTGATTCCTGGCATTCTTGACTAGATGCTGTGTCCTTGGGAAAGGCACTTTTCATGACTCCACGCAGGTGTAAAATGAGTACCTGACTTCAGTTGGAGAGGTAAAAGATGGTGGAAAGAGAGGGATGGGCTCTGCCTTCCTATACCATGCACAGTGTATAGCAACCCACTGCCCCTATGGCCTCAAAAAGGCTACGGGACTACCTTTACCTAAAGGGCCCTGTCCTTGGTGCTGAATTTTGTACCTGACTTCGGTTGGGGAGGTAAAAGGCAACAACTCACTGCCCCTACAGCCTCAAAAAAGGCTACGGGACTGCCTTTACATACCTATACCAAGCAATAGTCTAACTAGAAGTCAGACACATGTTGACAGTGATTTGTTCCCCGCAGTTCTGACGCAGTGATCAGCTCCATGTGGCCTGAAGGAAAGCGTGGCATCACGGAGGTCACCAAGCGACCGCTGACGGCCTGCACGCTGTTCAAGAACTCCATGGTGCAGCTGGTCTCAAACCTGGCCTCAAAGGTAAGAAGCTGATTCTATATCTGTAAGGCATGAACTATTTTGTTTTTTGAGAATGTCAACACTTTTATTCTAAGAATTGAAAATGTAATAATAGTATAAAATCACAAGACAACCCTACCTGCCAGGAATTTGAACCCAGAACTTTCAGATTCAAGTCAAATACCCTAACTACTGCCTACCTTAGGTTCCACGCTATGTCTGATGTTAAGGTTTGTTTGTTTGTTTGTTTATTTAGGTTCCGTACTACGTGCGTTGCATCAAGCCGAATGAACAGAAGTCCCCGGTCCTGTTTGACGACCAGCGATGCCAGCATCAGGTCGAGTACCTGGGACTGCTGGAGAACGTCCGTGTGAGACGCGCAGGATACTGCAACAGGCAGCACTACGCCAGGTTCCTACAGAGGTCAGCTGAATTCAGTTAGTTTTCGACTGTTTTCAGAAAACAATTTTGTCATTTTCCACAAGTTTTATGGAAGGCTGACACTGTCTTGTATCATTGCATAGATTAAGTGAGAAAATTGTTTCAATAAGTCATTGAGAACATTGATGTCATACACGAGGGCAAGTTTGTGCGACATGACCTTCAGATGACCTTGTACATGGATGTCAAGTCAAGGTTTTACAGCACCGCTAATGATGCAGGAAGTCTGACGTATTCTCCACATCTGCTCAGACACACCCCACTGCCTCACTGACACCCCCTGTAAGGTGTAAGGCATGTCTATAGATGTGTGTCAGGGGCATGCCAAGTTTCTGTTCCAGTCAGATGTGATACATGTAACCAGTCAGACACGTCCAGACAATAATTACATGCTCTATAGCTACACCTGAGACAGAAAGTAACTCTATCTGGAGCGTAACACGCAAGCTGCAGTTCGGGTGCAAACAACCATGCAGGCTGGTGTTTATGATGCACCATCACTCTTTTTCCCGAGTCTGTTCCCGAACATCAGCAGACTTTAATTGATGCTTTACTCTAATGTCTCCACAGTAGTCCTAGGAAAATGACAGCACTCTCTTGACACATTCACATTATGTAAGAATATGACTAAGTAAAGGTGAGAAGAAATAAGTATTACAATGTAACTTTCAGTAGAGTTTAATAAGTATATACAACTTTCTGCAAGTGTCCAAGATAATTTTATTGCTCCAATGTATAGGTTATTGCTTTTATGTTGCTTGTTTGTGACAACTGGAAACTGATTTAAGTTTATTTTAAGGGTGTTTGTGACTAAATCATTCTCTCTTCCTGCCAGGTACAAGATGATCTCGCAGTACACGTGGCCAAACCACCGCATGGCATCGGACATGGCGGCCGTGCAACTTCTGGTCCAGGAGAAGGGCTTCAAACACGACGTGGCGTACGGCAAAACCAAGATCTTCATCCGCACACCGCAAACGCTCTACGCACTCGAGGAGAACCGCTCAAAACTCATCCCTGGGATCGTGCTGTTTATACAGAAGGTTAGTCTCCACCAGACTCCTGAATAAATAGTAGAAATCATGCAGCATTACCGCATCTACAAGATGCGGAGTTTCCTCATGTTTTCTTTTTTACTTACAACAGAAAGGCATCAAGATTTTTCCCTCCTTTTCCCCCAGATGTGTGAGGTGATCTTTTTAGCTTTCCTGTAGGTACAATAACAATTTTTGCCTGTTCCTCATTTAGATGTGGCGAGGCGGACTCGCCCGCATGCGAGCGAGAAAGTTGAGAGCGATCTACGCCATCATGCGTCGTTACCGCATCTACAAGATGCGCAGTTTCCTCGTGGACCTTCTGGACCGCTTCTACAACGTGAGAAACATGGCGGACTACGGGAAGAGCGTCGATTGGCCGCAACCCCCCGCAGTGCTGGAGGAGTTTGTCACACAGCTCAGGAAAGCGCACAACGGGTTTGTTTGTTTGTTTGTTTGTTTGTTTGTTTGTTTGTTTGTTTGTTTGTTTGTAAGAAGTACTGAGGAACATGTCTGGCTACGGGAGGAGTGTGGAGTGGTAGTAGTGTGAAGAAATTTTTGTGGGTTTTCAAATAGAAATTGTTATGGTTAAGAAGCACTGGCCATGGTAACTAGTGCTGTAGCAAAAAACCCTGTGGTGTTGGGTTACATTATGTAGCAAGTGGTAGGACAAGTTGTAGGGGCTGGTCACCACCATATATATGAATGTGTTTTATATATGAATGTGTTTGTGTTTAACAGTCTGAAAGCAGTAGTTTGTTCGGCTAAACCATGTGGTAAACAATTACACATTTGCTCAACAAATTTTATAATCACCTTTCTAGTAACTCACTATCCTGGTTTTGATTATACTGCTGTCGGTTTCCCTGTCCCAGGGGTGGGCAGCAGTCGGCTGTTCTGGACACCACGCCTCCAGCTAGCTCTGTCCTGTGGGTCTGTGCTGGACAGACCACACTCCTTTTCCTTTCTAGTAAGTTTAAGACTTTCCCTATAACTTCTTTGTTGTCTGTTTAGCTGGTGGGCGCGTCACGTGATTGCCCAGATCCCTGAGCGTGACAGGAAGGAGGTCCGGCTGAAGTCCGTCGCGTACGGACATCTGCACGGCAAGCGGAGGGACTGGGGCATGAACCAGCGATGGCGGGGAAACTACCTCGGACTGGTGAGGGTTAAGTAGTGCTGTGTACCGGATTGTTGGACCGGTTCTGGACTCGTAAAAATGTTTAGGATCAAGTCACACAAAAACCTGAACGTTGGGAACCCGTTCCAGACTTACAAAAATAAAATCATGTCACATTCCCTTGTTGTTCTAAACCACCTGAATTCTTCAACAGTCAAACATTTTCGCTGTAAAAATGAAAGCAATTTGCCATTGGGCATTGTCAAGTGTCAGCCTCCGTAAATTATGTGGCCACAGTTTTGCCCAGACAACATATCTAGCTTCTAAACCCTGGTAGTGCAGTGCTCGCTACAAAATTTTGTGATAAAAATTTTCCATTGGGAAATGTTAACTGAGAAGTCCCTTCCGTATGTTTTAGAGTGAAGACATCCAGAAGGCCAAACTCTTCAACAACTCGCTCAACTCCTTAGTGGCCCAAGACGGGTTCAAGGAGGTGCTTTTCTCCGCTCATGTCAAGAAGGTGAACCACCACAACAAGAGCTCGGACCGCGCCCTGCTGGTCACCGACAAGTTCCTCTACAAGCTGGACCCTAAGAAGGGATACAAGGCCATGAAACACGGCACACCTCTCGCACAGGTGGGTGACAACACGTTATAAAATTGTTTGTCATCACTGAAAAATGTTTGATATACATGTAGAATATTATACAATTTACATACTGGCCAGTACATGTAACTGTGCCCAGTCAGTATCTGAACTGTCAGTCATTACCTTTTGCAGTTAAGGTTTGAGACTGACCATTGTGCATGACCTTTGTATCTGACCTTTGTACCTGATATTCACACCTGACCTTCACATCTGACCTTTGCGCCTGACTTTGTACCTGAACTTTATACCTGACTTTTACACCTAACCTTTACATCATTGTCCGTGATCGATTCATCTGACCTTTGCACCTGACCTTTCCCCTTTGCCCTTTGCCCAGATGACGGGAGTGAGCGTGACCCAGGGGTCGGACCAGCTGATCGCGGTTCACCTGTCCGGCGGTAACGACCTTGTGCTGTGTGTGACCTCCATCCAGCCCAGACAGGACCAGCGGGTACCTGAACTACTGGCTGTGCTCGCAGACACTTACAAAAGGTACAGTCTTTAGTTATGGATGAATGTCAACTGGTTATGCGAAGCAAACAAACAAACAAATCTGTATCAGTATAATCTGTATAACTGCCCTTCAGATTAACACACAGACAGGACCAGCGGGTACCTGAGCTACTGGCTGTGCTCGCAGACACTTACAAACGGTACGATAATTCAATACCAATTTATTTCTGTATCTGTATGGCCGGTATATACTAGTATTAAACTTAAAGCGGTGTAACACGCCAGGTTTGCAGACATGCGGCAAGGCAGCAGCTGGCTATATCACACTGAATGACTTGTCACACTCAATCTTTGCACTTTTTATTGTGCAGGAGTCGTTTAAAGCTTTCTAGTGATGATGCCCCAACTGTACTTGGTGGCAACGAGTTCCAGTCTACGATAGTTCTGGGGAAATACAAGTTTTTAAACACCTCGATTGATGACTCATATATTAGAAGGCATGACACTGTTTCTCGTTCTTTTCTGGGCTGGTTTATTTACAGATTTATTTATCTATCCATCTTGAATACAAGCAACAGTATAAAACAATAATACACCCTGATATTCACACTAAGCACAGTTAAACCCCAGCATGAGTTAGAACAGCAGACTCAGTGCCATGTAGATTAACACAGGCTTGTTTTTCCTGGAACACAGACTGGGAGCCGCCAGCTTTGGTCATTTTCATTTACAGAGCCTTGGCACCCAAACCAGCGGTCACGTTCATCAAACAATCACTGAGCCCAAAATCAGTTAAAACACTAGGAGCACTAGAAACACAGGTTTTTCCTGTGACCTATAGCACAGACTCCAGACTGACGCCGCCGGCTTTGGTCATTTTCTGCCCATCATTGATTCTGGAAGGCATCCAGAGACCCTGTATGTACAATGAATGTGTCTGCATCAGGGGCAGGAGAATTGTGATGGTACTGTTAGTGTTAAGGCCTAGGGAAACATTGTGTGTTTCCTGTTTCCCGACCGGCTCTAGAAAAACCTGCTGACCCTAGCCTTTTTTGTGTGGACCCCTGCAAGGGACATGAATTATTGTTTGAGTTGATCAAGCTTTTCTAGCTCCATGATCTGACACCTGAGTGATGAAACGTTGTACAATCAGTTTTCCAACATTGACATTAAAAATGCATTTTGTACAATTATCCTCATGGAATTCTAAGTTTTTCCTGTCTCTTATACTAAGTTATAGGAGAGAAAGCCCTCATTTTCTCCCCATCATTGATTCTGGAAGGTGTCCAGAGACCCTGTAATGTATGTGTCTGTATCAGGGGCGGTAGAAAAGTTGTGTTTTTCTTCAGTCTTGAAAAAAATAGGGTCGGTAGGTAGGGATTATCTTTTCTTTTCTTCTTTTTTTAGAGGTTAGCGATCTCTAGTGATTCAACTTATACAATACTGTTTAGCCAAGTAAAACTTGCATGAGGACACTTACATTTTTAATGCCAATGTTGGAAAACAGATTGTACAACATTTCATTACTCAGGTGTCAGATCATGGAGCTAGAAAAGATCGATCAGCTAAAAAAATTCATGATCCTTGCAGAGATCCACCAAAAAAAAAGGCTAGGGTCGGCAGTTTTTTCTAGGGTCAGTCGGGAAACAGAAAACACAAGGTTTTTGTCCTAAGCCCAATCATTGATTCTGGAAGGTGTCCAGAGACCCTGTACTTACATGTATGTGTCAGCATCAGGGGCTGTATGTAGAAATGTGAGGTGTTTAGTCAAAGCCTGATGGCGGAATGGTTAGAAATTGGTTTGGCTTCCCGTCAACTTTCACCATTAGAGCTGCTGGTTTGGAGGAAACTGTGTGTGAAAAAGGATTTAGATTGACCTGGCTGGAAATGCCCCATCAGCAATTTCTGTCTGCGTTCTTTTGCTGTATGTCATTGCAGATCATGTTTTTTGTAATACTGTACAGTCGGTTATTTTGTACTATGTTTGCCCAGCACTGCCTGAAAAACAGGTTTTTATTCAATCTGAGTGTAGTTACTGGTGAAATAAATAAGCTGGCAAACTTGCAGAAGAAAGGATGGAAATGCTGGATGCATATTATATGACTATTGTGCTCCCAGAATTGGAGCTGTGCATCAGTTTTGACCTGAGCTTTTTGTGTACGTAGGATTACAGGTATCATAATCATATTATTTCTTTGTATACTAGTGTACAGCAAGGCATATTCTTGCTATTTTTGTGTCAGAAAGTTAGCTATAGAGTTTGATTCAAAGATTCAAGCTCAGAAGAAAAGTAGTAAAGTATATATTAATTTTACTCTATTTTATTTTATGCACCTGTTCCCAAAAAGGAATTTCTATCCTTGGAAATAATTTTGCAAAAAAAAATGTTAACATTTGGCCAACTGAAAGCCTACAGGCCCAGAGTTATAAATCATGTAACGCAGAAAACCAAAGTAAAGTATTTCCCCCTTTGTATAGTCTCACATGTCCCCACATGTGCAGAAATAATGTGGATATCATAAGGTTATTCCCGGGCACTGAAAATCCCTCTTTACAGCTTTTACAGTATCATGGTTTGTAAAAAAGCAGTTACATTTTGCACTATATAAAGGGAAATAAGTATATGTATAGATAAGAATGTCAGCAAAACTAATTATGATGTTTCATTTCTAAAGAAAGTAGTACATTAGAATGATTTTATTATTTTTTTTACTATTATTTTGCTGAATATAACTGTTACAATACATTTGACATCATCTTTGGCACCCACAGAAAAAAATTGTCAATATTTAATGGGTGCACAGCTCCAAAATTTGCGTGCACCCAGTATTTCCATCCCTGTATTCAGATGGAGAGTTATAATAGCTCTAATCCCCTATTCAGGATTCGCGGTTTTATAACAGCGATCCGCGACCGGATGAACCTATTCCGGCAGGATTCGTGACTTTTCTGAATCTCCGCTGATAGAAGCTGGGGTTGTTTAATATTCCTGTCAGGCCTTGGGAAAAAAGTTGTGTTTCCTGTTTCAGTCCTGCAAAAATTAAGGCCGGTAGGTGGGGTTAGGCCACACCAATTTAATTTGTTGCTTCTCGGATTTTTTTAGAAAAAAATGTGAAGCGACAGGGCGAAAAAAGAAAAAAAAAACAGGCCAAGGCACCCCATGATAGCCAGAAATGTTACCATATGAACCATGAAATGAAGATACTAGGCTGGTTTGTAATTAAAACAATACATTTTGAACTTAAAATGAAACAAAATTGCATTTTTACATTGAAAAACTTTTCTTTTCATTGTCAATGTTGGAAAACCGATTGTACAACGTTTCATCACTCAGGTGTCAGAATCCGAGCTAGAAAAGCTCGATCAGCTTGAAAAATTTATGTCCCTTGCATGCGCAGGGGTCCACACAAAAATAGGCTAGGGTTGGTAGTTTTTTCTAGGGTCGGTTGGGAAACAGAAAACACAATATTTTTTTTCCTAGGCCTGATAGAAACTGAGGAATTAGTATTCCAGTCAGGCTGGTTTGACGTCAGACAAGCGCACAGCGAACACAAGGGTTTATACCGAGCCGACAGATTACACTCGATTATTCCTCCCACAAATCACATGAGAATTAGTCAACCTCAGGAAAGAATCTCGTTAATACAAGCTGTGAGTGTCGGCTACCTTTTCCTGTTCCTATATATATAATTTTACTTCAAGTTTGGAGCATATGGTACAGGTTTTATACAGAACCCAGAGTTACACACGATTATTTCTGCCACAAACCACACGAGAATTAGTCAACCTCAGGAAAGAATCTCGTTTAGTCGTTAATACAAACTGTGAGTGTTGTGAACCTTTTCCTGTTCCTATATATATAAATTTTACTTCAAGTTTGGAGCATATGGTACAGGTTTTATACAGAACCCAGAGTTACACTCGATTATTCCTCCCACTAATCAAATGAGAATTAGTAAACCTCAGGAAAGAATCTCGTTTAGTCGTTAATACAAGCTGTGAGTGTTGTGAACCTTTTCCTGTTCCTATATATATAATTTTACTTTAAGTTTGGGCAATATGGTACAGGTTTTAGAGTTCCCAGAACCCAGAGTTCTCGGTTATTCCTCCCACAAATCACACATGAATTAGTAAACCTCAGTATAGAATCTCGTTAAAACTGGCTGAGAGTGTTTTAGTCTCAAACTATAATAATTATTCCTGTTCCTATATTTTCTACCATAAGATTGACGTCAAATAGTATGGTTGATTTTATACAGAACCCAGAGTACAGAACCCAGAGTTACACTCGATTATTCCTCCAATAGATAACACTAGAATTAGTCAACCTCAGAAAAAAATCTCGTTAATACAAGCTGTGAGTGTCGTCAACCTTTTCCTGTTCCTATATATATAATTTTACTATAAGTTTGGGCATATGGTACAGGTTTTATACAGAACCCAGAGCTACACTCGATTATTCCTCCCACAGATCACACACGAGAATTAGTCAACCTCAGAAAAGAATCTCATTAATACAAGCTGTGAGTGTCGTCAACCTTTTCCTGTTCCTATATATATAAATTTTACATTAAATTTTGGCATATGGTACAGGTTTTATACAGAACTCAGAGATTACACTCGATTATTCCTCCCACAAATCGCTTGAGAATTAGTGAACCTCAGAAAAGAATCTTGTTGATACAAGCTTGGAGTTTTCCTGTTCCTATATTGTATATAATTTTACTTTAAGTTTGGGCATATGGTACAGGTTTTATACAGAACCCAGAGTTACACTGGATTATTCCTCCCACAAATCACACACGTCATGAATTAGTGAACCTCAGGTAGCACACTGGGCTACCTAGGTTCCAAAATAGGTTGCCCCAAGTAAAATTTGGTTGCCCGGGGCAACTGGGCAACCAGGTATTTTGCACACTGAAAATATAGATTTTATACAGGGCCAAGTGATTATACATGATTATTCTTCCTACATATCAGACTCACGTTGGTAAAATCTAGTTAATACCGGCTGAGACTGGATGTACTAAAACTGTCTGTACGTCATACTGTAAATATAACCACAAGTTTGGGACTTGTAGTTACATGTAGAGCACTCATTAGTAAACCTCATTCAGGAATCTTGTTAATACCGGCATCAGGCAGGATGCACTAAAATTGTCAAGATGTCATACTATCCTAATATAACTGCAAGTTTGGGACTTGTACTTGTTGTAGTGGTAGGTTTCATACATGTAGAGCTCTCATTAGTAAACCTCATTCAGGAATCTTGTTGTAATACCAGCATGAGGCAGGATGCACTGAAATTGTCGAGATGTCATACTATCCTAATATAACTTCAAGTTTGGGACTTGTACATGTAGTGGTAGGTTTCATACATGTAGGCCTGTCGTATACTGTAATTCACTAATGTTCACAGTGACAAAATTGCACAATCTGACAAAAATGTAGGTGTTTACGGAACTATATATTCACGGTGGCGACTGGTGCAGGAAGAAGAAAGTCCCGGAATTATTTGTTAACTGTAATGATAAGTTCACGGTACAGAAGTGACAGTGAAAACAGTGAACATAACAGTACAGTGAAGAAATCAGGAATTGCAGTAATAATGAACCCCATTCAGAAATCTAGTTAATACCGGCAGAGACAGGATGTTCTGTTGACGTGTGTCCTCTCAGCCTGCTGTATGGGTCCTGTCCTTGTAAGGCTTAGAAAAATATGTTATTTCCTGTTTCCTGATCGACCCTAGAAATCTAGTAGAAAGAACTGCCTTTTTTGTGTGAACCCCTGCAAGAAACAAAAAATTTTCAACTTGATCGACCTTTTCTAGCTCCATGATCTGAAACCTGAGTGATGAAATGTTGTTAGTACAATTGGTTTTCCAACATTGACATTGAAAATAAAAGTGTCCTCATGCAAGGTTTACTTTCTTGAACTGTATTGTATAAGTTGGATCACTAGAGATCACCAAAGTCTGATTTAAAAAAATATTTAAAAAAAAAACACAAGATAATCCCTACCTACCGACCCTAATTTTGGGGGGACTGAAACAGGAAACACAACATTTTTTTCTAGGCCTGAGCACAACCAGTTGGACTTGCCAAACATGAGGCACAACGTTTTATGCAGACCCCAGAGACCACAGAATTGAGTTTTCACACAATAGAAATATTTTGTTGTTGTGTGTAACATTCGTTTCCATAATATCACCAGGGTCCACAATATCGCCACCTTGAGAAACAGTGTGCTTAAAGATATTTTTACTGCAACATACTTTTGGTATGCACTCCTTCACACATCAAATGTACATACCTACTGTATGTTGCAGTAAAATATCTTTAAGCACACTGTTTCTCAAGGTGGCAATATTATGGACCCTGGTGATATTATGGATACAAATGTTATAATTTAAACTATTTTTTTTTCATTTTGCAGAAACAACAGGAAGGACCTGAAGGTCACGGTGAGCGACCGTCTGCAGTGCATGCTGGGTAATAAGAGCAGGACGGTGTCGGTGAGAAGCCATGACAAGGGCGCGGGCGTGACCTTCAGAAAGGAAGGGAACACGGGCCTGGTACTGGTGGGCACCGGCAGCCAATGAGCAGCAGCGTTACATGTGTAGGTGGGACCGGCAGCCAATGAACAGCAGCGTTACATATGCAGGTGGGACCAGCAGCCAATGAACAGCAGTGTTACATATACAGGTGGGACCGGCAGCCAATCAACAGCAGCGTTACATGTACAGGTTGACACTGGCAGCTAATGAACAGCAGCGTTACATAAATTATACAATTTGGGACTGGCAGCCAATGAACAGCAGCATTACATATACAGGTGGGGACCAGCAGCCAATAAAGGATGGTGTTACATTTAATGGTACTAGCCAATGAGCAGCCAATGAACAGAGATGGCTGACACTGGTAGTAGCCAATTAAACGCAGTGTTACATTTGTTAGTAGGAACAGGCAGCCAATAAAATGAAGGGTTAGTTAAGGCTTGCATTCCCACCAACCTGAAATTCATTCCAAAATGTTGACTTATGAAGTTTAAAAACAAAATCAGTGAACAAACAAGTTTTAGATAAATCATAGGTTTCTAATAAAGACATCAGGTTAGACATCAAAATTCCTACACCAAAGACAAGATGTCAAACTTAAAAACCTACTTGTGGTCTGAGATCAGTTTAGTAATTATAATGTTATGTACCTATATAATTCCTACATCACGTAAAAGCCATAGGTAGCTAAGCTACACATGTATGTGGCCAGGGCTCGAAATTCATTTTTGGGAATAGGTGCACTGGTGCAAACAATCTAAAAAATCGGGTGTACAAAATTTTTTGGGGTGCACCATATAAAATAAAATATAAAATAGAATGTCAGCAAAAACTAATTATCATATATGTTTCCTTTTTGAATAAAAGTCAATGATTCTATTACTTTTCTGATACTAAGGTAGTAAGATTATGCTGTATACTGCTAGTATATATTTAACATCTTTACACACGTAAACCTATATATGAAAATATTTGGGTGCACCTACAAAAAATTGTGTGCACAGCTCCAAATTTGGGTGCACTAAGGCGCACATGCACCCAGTATTCCCGGCCCTGCATACATACATTTGTAATATTGTATGATTATCATGTAAAATCCACAGCTAGCTAAGCTATGCTGGCAGACTAGAGCATGTAACATGATTGAGGCGGGTGATGACTGTTATTATAGAGTCTGTCTCTCGCGTATTCGGGTCATCGAAAATTGCTTTCCATGCCCCAAATGTTCCTCCAATCTCTGTAAATGGTTGGAGATGATCACACCGCGCTACTATCGGCCATCATGTACGCATTAGCCATGATTATATCGCCCATAATATTAACGTTTATATGAATCTTATATTATAGCACATGTACTGCAAATTTTAGGTAGGTCTTAAACTGAATGGGAAGGTTATATAGGCTCCAAGCAGGCTTCTGAGGATAATTTCAAGAGTATTTAAGCCTGGGAAACAGGCTTTTTGGCCACCAGGTTCATAGAAATTGCAGTACTTTTTTTTACAATCACTGCTAAATGTAGGTAGCTCAAAAAGGGTAAAGTCTTTTAAGGTTTAAAATGTCATAATTTTTTTAATGAGAATTTATAAAATTGTAGCTTATACATGTAAGATATCACATACCCCACAGCAGTATAATCAAATGCTGAAATTGAACATGATAACTTGGAAAAAGTAGTGCTTGACACTGGCTACATGTAGTTGGAGTTGAGTTAAATCCGTACTAGACTAAATTTGGTACAGGCAAATACAATAGATGATGATGATGAAATATTGGATACTACTTACTTTAAGGTTTACATAAACCAGGGAAATGCATTCCTGTGGCCTAAGACATTCCTAAACAGAATCTGATGTCTTCTAGGTGGAAATCAAAGCCTGAACCTTATGAAACCACCAAGTGAAACTTTTCGAGTGCCTCTTGCATAGTTCACATAGTTAGGGCATTCTAACTTACATTCTGCCTAAGTGTCTGAAACGCTTGTGTAATAAAATAATGAATATGCAATTGAATATCAGACATAATTCATTCAAAGTCTGGCTATACAATGCCTTGCTAGTACATGTATTATACTGTCTAGTAGTTACTGTAGTAGTAGTAGTAGTAGTAGTAGTAGTAGAGTTTATGCAAGCAATTGAGTGATGTGTTTGTATAAAAGCTATGAGTAACTATGTATTTTATGATGCAAAGTCTGGCTATACAATGCCTTGCCAGCACATGTATTATAGTTAGTACACTTAATGCAGGCAGTGGAGTAATGTTGTCTTGAAAGTTCATCTGTGTTGGTAGAAGTCATTGCGAAGCAGTTTTCAACACAAGAAATTGGACTTACCCAAATTTTGACTGTACAATTCCTTGTGTTGGAAAGTACAGTTTAAACTGCTTCATAATTGAGTTATGTGTTTGTATAAGAGTCATAAGTATGTATTTTATGCTACAAGTGTCTCCTGCATTTATATTGCTGGATATACAAGCTGTAGACGTTTATTATAGTTAGTAGATTTTATGTGCGGCTGAATTTGTGTGTTTGAGAACACAGTTATGAATATGGGATATGAAATGAAGTGCCTTTTCATTTGCCCACTTCTAAATTGATGGGTGATTTGAAATGATCAAGGCTTGAAGTAGAAACACTAGATGTTAGTAGATATACCAGTACTGTAGATTAAATTGTCAGCACTTATATAAGGTTGAAATGTAAACCACTTCCAAATTGATAGGAAAGGATGGGAGATTTTATGCGAGAACACGACTGGATTTATATGGTTTTATAACACTGTAATTTACATGCAAAATCCAACGGTTTTTAACCACATCAGGCTTTGAAATAGAAACGCTAGATGTTAGTAGATATACCAGTAGATTGAAATGTCAGCACTTATAATTATATAACTATAAGGTTTACATGTATTTACCATAGATACCCAAATTGGTAATACTCAGTCTAGTAATGGGAGATTTTATGCGAGAACACGACTGGATTTATATGGTTTTATAACTGATTGTGAATATCTGAGGGTTAAAAAATGGAATAGAAGCACTCAGAGAGTAGATCAACTAGTAGTAAGTAGTAGATTGAAAAAAAAGTCAGCACTTAAAGGTTTGAATTTGAGCCATGCATATCCACTTCCAATTTGGTAGGAAATTATGGTAGATTTTATGCGAGCACACGCCTCAATTTACATGGTTTTATAACAGTGACTTATACAGTTTTATGTAAGTCACCAGGGCTTGAAATATAATCTTAGAGTAGATAAACTAGTAGTAGATTGAGAAAAGTCAAGTATTAAGGTTTAAATGCATGCTAGAAACAGTACACCTAAAGTACATTATCGTTTTAGCTGGTTCAGGAAGCTTTTAGCCAACAGAACAAAATTAAAGTCATTGTTTAATAGTCAAAAAAGCTTTTTATATCAGACATACCATGACGATTTTTACAGCTAGATTGTAGATACCAGGAAATCAGACAGTTTTTCCACAAGCCATTGAAACATTCCTTTGCTTAGGGCAATTTCCATTTCAGCATTCCAGTTGTTTTATTTTGTTCCGATTTGTGTCTGAATGGCTTTTTTTATTGTTACGGCCAAAAACCTTTATAATTAATGAATGAATTTTATTGCCTGACAATCGTACACAGTACAATGTATTGCAGTAAATTAACTACAATGCTTACGCATATCTATCCTACATTTACAGCTACAAAATACTAACAGTACACAGTATTTGAGTCATATTATTGTCATGTCTGCATAATATAAAGGCTGGAGAAATGGTCTAGGATTTTGAGCCGCAGGTCCAAACATTATGACATTCCCAGTGTAGTGGTGTAGGCAATGATGTAGGCGTGTTATTGAGCATGACAGTGCAGGGAGTATATCTCATTATCTGTTATTAGTTTGTGGCACTGCATAACCCCTGTCAAATCCAAAATGCTCACATTTTTGCCCCAACAGGCCTCTTTATGATGATGCCTCTGCAATTTTTTCACTGTTGCCTTATATTTTTTCTAAAAAAATTTTAGTTGTAAGAACTGCATCTGATCATTTCCAAAATCATATCCGGTTGTAGAACCAAAAGCAAGCGTAACATTTGTCTGCTCTGTAACATTATGAAATGTAAACATTGTAGATGATTCAGTTTTTGTGAACTCATATCATCATCACAAAATCATAGCATAATACTTATTTGTTCTGTATAGTCTTTATTTCAATGCCCTTTACCCAAAAGGCCCATTCCAGGGCTCATATAGAAATTAAAACACAATCATTTTGCAACAGATAACATGGTAAAAAAAACATGCATTTGGCACAAAAAGGCATTTACATTATGTACCAAAGAAAGGAACGTAATCTTCATACTCTATACTATAGGAAATATAAACATTATAGATGATAGAATTTCTCCACACTCATATCTTCATTGCAAAAACATCCATCTGCCTCCTAATATTAAAACCCCAGAACCCCCACCTGAGCTCAGAGAGACTTCCGCATTTTTAATCCGCTCTCAATTTGTCTAAGTGTTCTCCCGTTTCATCTTGGTTGTAAGATTTATGTTTCCAGCGTACTTAGAGGATGCACGTAATAAAGTGATAGATTATACCTACTTACGATGGCCTAGATATGATATGATATGATGTGATATGTATGAAATATGGATTCATAAGTGAAGTATTCTTATATGGCTCTGTTGTAGCATAAGCATATATCATGATTATTATAGAATGTGTTATGAATGTACGAACGATTGTCATGATCATGTTAACATTTACACAACAATAGCTAGTGTAGCTAGTGTAAAGGACAATCAGTGTTAGGATGTAGTGTTAGTGATATTATAAATGCAGTCAATTTTGTATTTGAAAAATTATGAACTGATACTTAATAGTGTGTAGATTTATAATTATAAATTTTAAGAATGTTATTTCACTGCATGAGGAAAAATTTGATTCCAATTTTTTTCCCAGAACCAAAGATGAAATAAGCTGCAAGTATAAGCTGTAAAATATGAAATGATATTTAGTAAGATGTTTAGAAATTTATGGTATGTTTTTATGTGAGTTGTAATTGTAGTGCTTGTTGAATATGCTGTCCTATTTTTATATGCATTTGGTCATTTTTATGTGTATTATACGAATATTTGTATACGATTGTATTGCATGTACTGTTGGTATAATTTCTAGATACGTTTTCTAAAAACTGCTTAGATTTAGGCCAGAAAAATGTAATAACTTGTTTCAGGGATCTCCTGGTTTGTGTTCAACTCATAAGATAAAGCCTTTGTTGTATTGCTTGTTTCAAATTTTGAAATTAGCTATGAAATTTCAAATTAAAGCCCTAAAGAGAGGCAGTAAGGTTTTGTAATTTTGTTTTACTGATATCCTATTATTTCGTGTTGTGCACTCAAAATATATCTGCACACCTAGATTTTTAGTTTCGGATATTCAGGCATATATTGTGGCAATGACTTTCAAGCCGTTTATCACAGTTGTTGCAAAAGCAAGCTGTGCAGTTGTAATACGTCACAAGCTATTCGGAATTCCTGATAAATTCCAATTTAAACTATCCAAACACTTCTTTGTGTTAAAGAGCCTGGTTGAAATCCTACTCTATGTTGTCCTAACTAAGGACAGATGAAACAAGTTATTAAATTTGCAAGGCCGTGCTGTGACCAGATGTGTACGTTGCAACAGCACCTGACTCTATTGTTGTATGTTGTATGTACTACTGTAATTTGCAGGTTTTTTTGTCTGTCAAAAAAAGAAAACACGCTTTTTACCTGAAGGCAAGTTTTTTGTGTGTTGTCATTTTCTTTGTCTCCCTGTGAATTATGAATGGTGTACCTGTGGGATGAACCATTTCAGAACCGTAGGGGTGCGAATATTTTGGTACCTTTGGGTTGTACCATTTCAGAAGCGTAGGGGCTGGAATGATTATGAATGCCCTTCACTATACAGGTTACATGTAGGTGTTGGGAATTCTGACTGGCCCTTCCCCATATCTTTTAAAAGAGAGAAAGTTGTCTTAGATTTGATTCTCTGTTTAATCCAGAATCATGCTTTATCCAGAACCATGTTCAGGCTTAGTTCTGGATAGTCCACATGTATCCAGAACTGTGCCTAGGGCAAATCTACGTTCTTGGATTTGTGGACACAATCCAGAACCGTGCCTGATCCTAACCCTAACTTGTTCAGACATAGAACTAGACATGCACGGTTCTGGATAAAATACCCCTCCCCCCACACTAAATGGACTAACCCACAGACAGACCCTGAGGGATATGACTGGCTGATATCCTGTTAACCTTCAGTGACCTTGGGCTCATCCAGTAAACTAAGAGTTGGGATCAGGTCATTTTCTGAGTTGTTGGGTTGAATTTGTCGTTAAATTTTGTGGAAAATAAATTTCAAAACAAACCGAATCCCTACAGACTGTGACTGGATGACCTTGAGTTACCTCAGTTTGACCTTGGCTCCTCGGGGCTGTGACAGATAATTACAGGGCTCTGCTGAAGGTCAATTCAATTCACTGTCCAAAAATGAAGGGGTTCCATTGCAATTGTCGTTTTCCAATAGGGAAGCAAAATCATTGAAAATGTAACGTGGCAAAAAACGTTTCACAGGTCCAAACATTTGGAAGGGAAGAAATCTAACCCACAAAAGAATTTAAGAAATGTTTAGATAAAAGCTTCACTTAACATCTAAAGCTCCATTGTAAGAGAAAAGAACTGTTTGACTGGTTTTTGATTTGTAAACCAGCTTGTTACGTAACTCTTTTTCTTTATTTACTGTTAGGCCACACCAAGTAAATTTTATGGATGACGTCCTTTGGAGACCCTAAATCTAATGCGAGAGGGCGAAAAAAAACAAGAAGGGCCCTAAAAAACAAGATGCCTAGATTAGAAATATACTAAGAGATGACAAATGTTAGGACACAAATTGAATGAGGTGACACAGTGTAACAAGCAAGAAGTCTTTTATTCATCATCAAAACAGCAATAAATCAGGTGGAACAGCAGTTGTCGTCCTGTCCTGTTTCTTTCATCACATTTTTGCAGGCCTGCAGAAACAAAGCATAAAATTGCGGCTCTGTCGTCACACTTTGGTCATAGTTACAGGAAGCGGAATTTCTTGTTTTTTTTCTAGGAACAGGTCAAAATCAATGCGCGCGCGGACGTCATCCATAAAATTTACTTGGTATGGCCTTACCAACTTAAACCCAGACTTCAAATGTTTTGAGTTTGAGATCAAATTTGACTTTTTAAGGAACTCAAAAATCCTATTTTTGCAGTTTAAGTAATACTAGTCTTTTGAGTCTTTCAATCCATCCAAACCTTGAGTTATCATGCTAAACCACATACATGTACATACAAACACACACTCACACGTACACACACACACACACGTACACACACACACGTACACACACACACAGACACACAAATGTGCACACACATCTCACACATGCACATACACACACACACACAAACACTGCTCTAAACATAATCTTCTTGGCAAATGTAATAAAATAAGAATTAAAAAAAGAGTCGTACAAATTTGTCAGTGGTCCAACAGTTGTATTACATCATAACTGGTTTTGCACTTTGTAAACTCAGGTTTTTCTCCATCCATTGTCAACATGTCGGTTTTAACGTTACTCATTCAACAAACTTTGTTCTCAACAACATACAGCACGGCCTAGTTTTTATGTACAAAAATAATTCAACACAAAGAATATGCAACAACGTCATATGATTGTCACATCCACACATAAGTTATAATAATTATTTTTTGTCGTTTCAATAAATACCATGCAGCAGTGAAACATATACACAGATGCGAACAAAGATTCTCGTACTGGCTTTAAGATTGTTCATAATACATTGTATCTACTTGGAGAACGTCACAAAAACATCAATTTATCAACTTTTAACTCTCTTTCTAGGATATTCTAATGTTCAGCTACCTGAGAAGACTAGACCATATCATAACATGTAATATTAATAATCATAACACTAATCGTTGCACATAGTTTCACTGGTCGTAGTCCCTCCATATGTACATATTATCCCCTCAGTCATGCCCCCATAGGTAACACCAGGCCCCCATAGGTATCAACTTTCAAACCGTAAAAAAAATGAGTGATGACTTCATAACATCAAATAAAGATCTGCATCAATGAATAAATATGAGTCTGTGTCGTAGTAAAAAAAATGGCTTTTTCGAATGTCTATGAGAAGAACAGTTTTCTCGAACGATAACTTAGTATTGCACAGAAAACTTGGATGCAACAAAAGTGTGATGGTACAAAAAAATCGCCTGAGCGAGATAATATTGCACAAGTCATCTACACCTTCCTAATATGGGCGGCATCTTCCATATAAGGGCGTCGGCGGCCATTACGTAATGATGGATTTTTACCAAGTAATTGGAATTCTGTTCGGCGGCTTTCGTTCGTTTTAATTTTACCCACAAGCCACCTGCGCATCAATCTGATTTTAATTTTCCATACGGGAAATCTCGACGGATTATTTCCACCAACGACCTTGCGGTGTGTTTTTCCAAACGACCTTCATGCATCTCTCTCCGATCTGGATCAGAAACAAAGCCTGCGGCTGGGAGCCATTTTTGTTATTCAGGAGACGGGCTACTAATGAATAATTCAAACCGCATCGCCTGAATCCACAGCGTTACGCACATCCTTTTAGTCTGATGGGTTTGAATACGCAGCGGATGCTGCTTTCTATTTAACTGCCACCCACACAAAACAGTCCACAAAAGCAGCCAACGTTACACAAACAAGGAACGATGCGTCGGGAAACAAATTGCAAATTTCTTCTCCGGTTGGGTGGAAAAATATTTCAGGCCAAGCTGTAAAAATATTACCGGGACAGATGGAAGAATGGAGTCATGAATAATAAATAACGAGTGAATGCAGGGATGTATTGGGTCACGTGACCCCAAACAGCACCTGCATTATGTATTGGTATGGAAGGCTATTAAAATTCCTCTCAACAATACAATCTGTTTACCTCCACGTTTTTATAATATATCAGAAAAGACGGTGGGGGATATATCTAATATTATTTATACACAGAATCATTCCATCTTTTTTTTTTCAACAGTTAAATTCTCTATCCAGCCTCCTTGTTTTTGTTCCTTTTTTTTAGCCGTCAAAACATAGTCTGCCACTGTAATATCTAAATACAGGGTGCCCATTTATGTAGCTGTTCCTAAAGGTAATATTTGAGCCTAAGGTTCAGAGATGGGGGGTCTATATACATGTTCAAGGGCTGATTTAACTGATGGGTGGCAGATGCTAGAACGCAGGGGCTGTCTAGGGGGGATCCAGGGGCTCTCTAGGGGGGATACCCTGTCTGCGTGTCTTCCCTTTAACAATGGCTGCCTTTGTACCCAGTGCTAGCTATTACATACAGGCAGGCTGTGGGTGTTGTTACATCTGTTATGCCGACGGTATGGAATGATATCATAGGAAATTTTTAACCCTACCATGTCATCTGGACTTTTCGGTCGTCATCTATATTCATATATGGCTGTTCCAAATGCGGGAAATTTTATACAATATGGATAGTCTTAACCCTTAAGTAGCTTCTCCCTCCTTGCAGACGTACAGGTGCATTTTCTTAAGGAAGTACAGGTGCATTTCTTAACTCCTACCTACGCGCCCTTCGCCCCCATGGTTTTCAGTTCGCAGAAGATGTCCGTGAAATAGTTCGGGTCCGAGTTGATCTTCAGCATCTTTGCAGACATCTCATTGATGATTTTCAAGCAGCGGTCCCAGAATTTGTCCTTGTTTTCCTCCACAAGGAAGGGTTTGAGCGGGTAGGAGATCTCGTTGCCCATGTAGGAGTAGGAGAGATACAGACATGTGAGAACCACGGCTTGGAGTTCATGTTCAGTTCCGATGTCTTCTGTGACCAGCTCTCGGCAAAGCAGATACACGAACACGACGTTTGCGGGAGACACAAAGGCTTGGTCCTGCCAGCCTTGGAGCAAGAGACTTCGGTCCACGGCTCTCAGCCACATCACCGCATCGCTGGGCTCAAAGTCGCGCAGCTTCGGGCATCTTTTTCTGAGAAACTCGCCCAAACATTTCAGCAGCTCGGAGGTTGAAGCCTGCAGGACGATTTTCTTGGGGCTAAGATGGCAGGATGTGGATTTCTTGATGGTGTTGTTGTTCAGAGCTCTCGCGGACGGATTCTGTTGTAGAGAGGAGTTTAGGTTGAAGCAGGAGAAGGATTTCTTGACGGTCGGGTCTCGGAGGTTGTGGTGGCTACCCGGGACGGACGAGTTGATCGTGGAAAGGTTGAGTTTTAGTCGGGAGCCGCTCCCGTTAGGGACAGAAGTCCCGACATTGCTGCCTCCTATCCCCACCTTCTTCTTGGTGCTGACCACGAATTTCTTCCAGCTGAGCGCGGAGATGAAAATGGGGTGTTTTTTTGAGGATTTCGGCTCCTTCTGCTGGGTGCTACATTTGGCAGAGTTTAGGGCGTTAAAGTGAGAAACACTGACTGTCCCGTCGTCGTGGATGATACCGCAATCCCGGCGTGTCCGAGGCGGTGAGAGAGAAAGAACGGTCCCCATGACTGCACCGGAAGGCAGCGGTCTCGCCGGTACACGAAGTCAGCGCTACAAAGCAAAACTACAGCAAACTACGGCCCCTACCAGCTCCCAGCCGCCACCCGGACGCTATAACCCCTCGTACACAGTCAGGGTCTCTCAGATCCACCATTTCCAGCCTCCAAATCTAGGCTTTTAGAAGGAAAATCAGTCCCGTTCACCGCCACCATTGAAACACCAGCGCTAGCCGGGCTGAATACTGAACGCATGCTAATACACACGGGCGAGTCCACACTCTTACGGGGGGACTTAAAATAATTGCGCATACCTTAGAACAAATAATTATCAGAATGCTTGAGAATACGACCTTTTTTCTCATTCTATATTTTACTCTTAATCCATTTCGTATTACAATTGTGGCGGTGTTTTTTCACAAAAAGGTTTGTATAAAAAAATGTTATTCAAAATCCCCCCGCGGCTTGGCGACATCGCGCGGCCCGTCTCATGTATTTCGAACGAGCATGCCTTATTTGGAAGCGCCATTACGTCATTGGGGAGACAGCAGAAAGATATGGCAGAATTTGCGGAATCTGGATATGACCAATCCAGGTGTTTTGCGTACAAATAAACCATTTTAACCCGCGTTTCCATGAAAATTCGCCCTGAAAAAAACACTTCCTTCAGTCACCACCCCCTTTTTGGTTACAATGATGGAATTTGGTGAATTTCTGTAATATTTCGGCGATGAAGGCGGTCGCCATTTCAGCTCGGTGCGTCATGCATAAAGTCATTTTCCTTTCATTGATGAATCCTGAATAAAACATTCACGTACTGCATTCTGGGATGGGCCGCAAGCATATTATTACTATCATTATTATAACGCACCCTGTTGGAAAATTAAAATACATGTAAAGGAAAATCTGGGCAAGACGGGGTTTCATTTAGCTTAATAGGACGAAAACGGATATAACGTTATGTTATATTACATCGACTTTTCATTATATCGTACACTAGATCTTTCTGTTTGGCAAAGAAATCCTCTGGCAAAATTTTAATTGTGTTTTGGTGAATATCTCCATTAATTTTAAGCCTGGGGGGAATCAGGATAATTGAGTATCGTATGAATCGCCGTTTTTTTTTTTTCGAAGCTCGTTTTACAAGAAAAAAAAGGACCGTTATCACAGGATATAGTCTCCACCACACTCCTTCGTGGCAAGTCAAATCTACGAGGCGGCCAAACTCCTCTGGCAAATATTCTCCTATATAACGTTATATTAGTCTCCACCAGACTTCTTTTGCGGGCTGAATAAATCGTGAGAAATCGGCCTAAAAGGGGTAGTTAGCCGGCCATATCGACGATCAAATTGGACCCTCTCTGGCCGGCTACCTTCTTTCGCCAATTAATACCCTTTTTAGGCCGATTTCTACGATTTATTCTACATATATATATTCAGCCCGCAAAAGAAGTCTGGTGGAGACTAACGCTATATATAGCCAGCGTAGTTAGTTTGCTCTTTTCAGCCGCCTCCCGAAGCCTGGTATAGGCTAGTTTGGAGGCTACATAATCTCCAAGCAGATCCCTTTCGATGGTAAAAAAACAGTATCAAATTGGCCAGGCAGTGTAGTTTACTCTTTCCAGCCGTCTCCCGAAGCCTATAGCCTCTACCAGGCACCGCGGATCGCTGGGGAAAATAGTAGAAATTGGCCGAAATAAAGGAATAATACCAGGGGAGTTAGCTGGCCAAAGAAGCTCTATTATTTGCGACACACGGAGTCGCTACGTTCTTTGAAGGTCGCAAATTGGAGCTTCTCTGGCCGGCTAACTCCCCTGGTTTTATTTCGGCCGGTTTCTACTATTTTTTCCAGCGATCCGCGGTGCCTGGTAGAGGCTACGAAGCCTGGTATAGGCTAGTTTGAGGCTACAGAGGATGTCGGAAAGCGGAAACTGACCATGCCGCTCATCCGACCCGTAACAGCTGCTCTTCCTGTGTGGAAACAAGTGCACAAAACGGCCCAGTGATTAATTATGTATCAATAGTTATTGTCACCCTAAACGGTCTCCGCTCCGGGGTTTGGGGCTATAGATAAGTAGCAGAAAACGGTCTGGCCCCGAATTGGTAATCTCCAAGCAGAGGTTGTGGGCCGGAATGATCGTTAACTTTTTATATATGGCCTTTTTTTGTCCGTACATTTGTCGGTGGCCAATGGATACCGCCTGGCCAATTTGATACTGTCTTTTTACCACCGAAAGGGATCTGCTTGGAGATTAAAAAAATCTTAACCGGCGTAATTAAGTTTCTGTAGTGCCATCAGGTGACAGGTGAGAGATCCTAACGCACGTGTCTGTGCATTTACAGCGTGGTGCACTCCTACACATGATGATCAGAGGAGGAAACTACAGTAATTCGGACCTTCGGTGTGACGAGGGCACAGAAAACATCTCAACCAAGGATGGATCTATGGCAGTAGGAGTAGAGGAAGGCCGTCAGATGAGTAGAGGGCCTTCCTGAAGGAGCGAACAAGCAGATGTACTAGCCTTCTCCCGGTACGCGCCGATTCGACGTGCTCTCCTAGAAACACTCCCAGCTTCACACAAGCACGAGGCACCAAGTGTTAATATTACCTAGAGAGAAAACGGACTCTGAACTGAACCAAGAGCAAAACTGAGCACCAAGAGACCACGTCTAGCGACATAGTTAAACATGGACAACAACAACAACAAAGAGTAGACGACATCAGAGACTGGACAGGCAGGTCCCTGGCTGACTGCACACAGATGGGAAAGGGCAGAGAGGAATGGAGGAAACTTGTGCTGGATGCGACCACAGACTCAGACCCTCCAGACGAGGATGTGACAAGGTGAAAGGTGAGTGAGTTTACGTCGTGCAAGGTGGGGGGGGGGTGCGAGTAAGGGCCGGTTACAGAAACAAGATCGCGGAAACGTACATACATTCATTCCTATCTAGGTTTTATATCAAGATATCGAACCCTACTATGCACAATACTGTGTCTGTATCGGTATAGCCGGTATATCCGCCCTCACAGTGCACGGGGAGATCGGGTTGTCAACTGGTTGTTAACAGAAAGATATCATACATGTGTCGGGTTTTTAGTACTGATAATCCCTACATTAGAACCGACAAAAGGCCAAATATCGGGCCGAATCAATGGAGTCCGCCCATTAGTTTCCCGGCCGTTCTCCGACACATACACGACGAACGTCGGCCACGTATCGGTTTCCCCCATAGGTCACCAGAGGTCATAGTATGCGTTACATCCTGATTACCCAAATGAATGTAGCATAGGTTAGTCATATGAATTAGGCATTCGATTCAATTTTTTTTTTTTGCTTGTTGATTACTATTAATATAAGCTTTGCCTACATACAAAATACAGTCAACTGATATCGATGATAATGAAGACCATTGAAATGGACACTTTTGAAACACTTGAAAACTTTTAGCCTGATTAAAATTACGGTTGCCGGCCGCCCATCCAGCCGCCCTGTGGGAAGGGGCCACTAAAGCTGCGGACGGCAGTGTTTGCGTTACACAGACTAGAAAACTTTAGGTTGACCAAGTTTACCGCCTTCTTCGCAGATTGGTGTGGCGGCGCCATTGTGTTTTTGGGGTGGGCCGCTGATCAACACGAGTATCGCCGCCCAACAAACTCCCTCCGCGGGCAAACTCCCTCCGCGGCCAAAACCCGCATCGATCAGCTTCCCCCAACCCCCGAAAAAATAAATGCCGCCGCCGCACTGGTCTGCAAAGAAAGCCAAGAAGCAGCACTGATTTCAGGATATTATTTCAGAAATTCGTATTAAGCGTCACTTTTTACCTCAAGCGTCATTGAACTGCTTTAGTGGCGGTGGCTTTCAAGAATATCAGATTACACTGAAGGGCGGTGACGCAGAGCAAACCGGCACTGCGGCAGCTGTGAACGGCAGATCGACACAAAAACGAACCTACCTTGCCTGGTCTGTTAAACATCATTCTTCCACTGCCTCACGGACCCTGCACAAGTCTTCCACACAGTTGTCGCCTTTGCTAACTATAACTAGGCATCCTCCCATGGCAGGGTCAGCGGCTCCGGGTTCCTTAGGTGGTGGAGAAGGAACTCGGAGCCGCTGATCCTGCCATGGGAGGATGTAACTAGGCTACTGTGCGTTCTTTGGCACTTTTTTTATGCTACATAATGATACTCGATAGACAAATAATACTATTATATTTCTTTTTCAGGAAACAGCATGCTGTATCGAGAGCCGACCCAAGCAAAAACAATAGACACTACCTGATTGGAGATAGCACAAAAAGAGCTGCAGGGCGGCTGATGCAAGGACTAGCCCTACAAGCTTTAATACGTTGTTGTTGTTGTTTTTTTCACATACATTTGCAACAGCTGCCTGTGTACCACGTGTAGTGCATTGTTAATCAAATCAAATCAAACTGTAAGGTTACCCTGTAAAAGTACAAACAACACTTGGGAGAGATAATCCCTTTGTCGGTGTGATAGAAATTTCTCGTAATTTATAATTGATAAGTATAAAAAAATTCATTCAGAGGAAAGGCATAAAAAAGAGATAAGGAGGAGGAAAAACAAAAGATATAAAGAAAAGATCTGTGCCGGGATACGATCCTACGACCTCTGGATCTCGCAATATTCACCAATGTTCTTGCAATCATCCCGCTGAGCCATGGCGAACTCCGTACTTTGCTTGTGCAAATATTACACTATTGACGTGGCGGTTCGAGTTTCTTCAAAGGAAATGGAAAGTAACAAATGTTTCAAATTCATCGATGTCGTATAATAGTTAGTATTTATTCCTGAGGTTTATCTTGTATGCCATATGCGACGTTTATCATGTCATTCTGTATTGCGCTTTGTTCTTCAAGTTGAACACGGCGACCGTCATTTGTAGCGCGCGCGCGAGTGGCTCAGTCGGTAGAGTCGCTGCCTCCTTGCCTTGCGTTGCGATACGTGGCTGCCAGAACGGCGCCAGTTCGAATCCCATGCTATGCTATTATTGTCATGATTGATATTGTGTGATTCCCTTATGTTCCAGTTTCTTGTACATGTTTCAGGAGTCCTAAAGACGGAGCTACCATAGAAATTGTTGTATTGTGTTCATAAGTCATCATTGGCACATGCCGTACGGCGGTGGCTCGTACTAGTCGTAGTCCGTGCGTTCGTGCCCAGCTTTATTGTATGGACTTTTTATTTTGCACACGACCATTGAATTGAATAATTCTCACATATAAATGTAAGAATCATTTAACAAACTCAACTAAACCTTTAATCCTGCAGATTGCACTTTTGAAAATGAAGACGTGTAATTACATATATAAAACGTACGATTGTGACGTTACAAGAAGAATATATGCCACTTACAAGGGGATTTCAGTAAAATTGGAAGGAAAATAGGGAAAAAAACACTCTCCGAATATATAATGATCCTGTGGGGAAAATTAGTAGTACAACTAGTAAGTGTAGTTGCAAAGGGTAGAATGTCCCAACCCATTCATTCAGAACTGCGTAATGTATTCGTCAAGACGGCCATGTGACCTTCCCATGGTGACATGGTGACACGTGAGTCGATGTGTCAATCTTGAGTGTCGCCATGGCAAT